ACTTCTGCTTTCACAAGGAAAAATGAAGATATTGGGACTGTCGAGATGGCTCCATGAGTGCCAGCTGGGTTTTGATCCAGAAAGCCACATAAAGGTGGAAATATAGAACTGACTTCACAAGGTTTTCCTCTGACCTCCACATGTGTGCCTCTGCACTCACGATCACAACACACACACACACACACACACACACACACACACACACACACACACACACATGGGAGACCTGTAATAATGATGATAATGGCAATAATAAAAATTTCAAATGGAGTTAGTAACAATCAAGGAAATGAAATTATAAAATTCACATAAAGCAGAACTGCCCAGACCCCAATGTCCGAGGTGCCACTACCAATACATGCACATTTGTTTAATCATCCATCTATTTCTGCTTTGTTCTGTTTCTGTTTTTTTTTTTTTTTGAGACAGGGATTCATGTAGTCCCAGCTGGCCTCGAACTCATTTTGTAGATGTAGATGGCCTTAAACTTGTGATCCTCCCACCTCCCAAGGGCTGGAATTAAAAGTATGCACCATCACACTTTGTTCATGTCAGGCTGAGCACTAAACCCAGGGTTTTGTTTATGCTAGACAAGCTTTCTACAGCCTTTACTTATTCGTTTGTTTTACTATGTACGCTTAAACGCTTATTGTTACAGTCCAAAACATTATGCCCACAACTGAGGTCAGTGTTTGGACAACTGCAGTTTTTCTATCTATTGTTTGTTTGTTTGTTGGTTGGTTGGTTGGTTGTTTTTTGGGTCAGAGTTTCTTTGTGTAGCCCTGGCTGTCCTAGAACTCACTCTGTAGACCTGGTTGGCCTTGAACTCGCATGGATCTGCCTGCCTCCCGAGTGCTGGGATTAAAGGTGTGCACATTCACCATCTAGCTTCTGCCTGGTTTTGTATAGTTTGCAAGTTGAGGGTAGGCTTTACAGCTTTACATTTTTAACTTTCAGGTAGAAAAAAACAACACAAAGAGAAATATTCCATGATGTGTTATGATTCCAATATGCAATGTACCTCCCCATAGGCTCCTATGTGGAAAGTTTGTTCCCCGGCTGCTAGTATGACTTTGGAAGGTTCTGGAAACCTGAAGAAACAAGACAATAACTGAAAGAAGTAGATGGCATGTGGTATGTGCTTAGATATAGATTTTGTCCTGGTCTTGTCTCCACTTTCTACCAGCTTTGTTCAGCTCAACACTTGTTGTTTATGGTGTGTGTGTGTGTGTGTGTGTGTGTGTGTGTGTGTGGTCAGATGTGCACACAAGGGATGGAGAAATAGCTCCGCTATGAGTGTGTACTGCACTTGCAGAGGATCCAGATTCAGTCCCAGCACCCATACCAGGAAGCTCACAAGCCCCTGCAACTCCAGCTCCAGGGAATCTGGCATGACGCACATACTTAAAAACAAAATTAAATGTTTTTAAAAGGACAGAGAGAGAACAGGGTGGGGTGGGAGATCTGGTGTGATTCCCCAATCACTCTCCACCTTATTCTTTGGGGCACAGTCTCTCTCTCTCACTGAACCTGACATTCATTATTCAACTAAGTCAATAAGCTTGAGGGACCACGTGTCTCCGCCTCCCCAGTGATAGGGTTACAGGTGTGCACTGTGCATTCTTTGTTTTTGTTTTTAAGATGGTGCTATGGATCCAAATTCAGATCCTCATCCTAGGCACTTTGCCAACTGAGCCATGTCCCCAGCCTAAACCACATACTTTTATTTCCATGGCATTCCATCTCGCCACAAGTCTGCAGCAATGGATCCAGACAGCCCACAACATGAAATCTGTGAAATCACGAGCCAAAGTAATATTTCTTTCCTGGGAACTGTTCTCAGAGTGAGCTCATCCAGGCTGTAAAGAATCAGAAGCCATGTCTCTCTAGGTTTTGGCTCAGCTACTGCAACCCACTGGCTTGAAAACACATAAGCAAATACCCTGGCATAGGGTAAATAGGCCAAAACCTATTAAATGGATTCAAGAAAGAAATTCAGTTCAGACATGACTGTATACACCTATAATCCCAGCACGAGGGAGGCTGAGGTAAGTGGGTCACCATGAGTTTTAGACTGCTCAGACCTACATAGGAAAAGCTTACCTGAGTCCTTCCCTATGTATGTTCTCGTTATTTCACCTGGGAAGAGAGTCTTTATTTTTAGATAGTTTTTATAAAATTAGATATGTTTGTATGCATCTGTATGTGAGTGTAAAAGCAGGTACCTGTATAGGCCAGAAGAGGGCGTTAGATCCCACAGGGCTGGAGTTAGAGGGGGTTGTGAACCACCCAATGTGGGCATTGAGAACTAAACTCAGATCTTCGGGAAGAAGAGTTAAGAGCTCTTAACCCTCAGAGGAGGGGAGTATTAACAGTTACCTAGATCCAGCTGCCCTAATCGTGGCCTAAGTGAACATCTGTGGGTTGGGAAGAACTGTCTTGAATATCCCTAGAAGCAAGGAGACCCATTCTGAATGTAAGTGGTACCATCTCTTAGGATGGGACCTGAGCTATCTGACAGTAGAAGACACAGCTAAGAAAGCAAGCAAGCAGCATGGATGCATTCATTTTTGTCTGCTCTAGGCCGTGGATGTGATATGACTGGCTGCTTGGGCTCCTGCCTTACCTTTCCTGAAAGGATGGACTGTAGGCTGGAATTATAAGCAAATAAGCCACTTCCTCCTCTAACTTACTTTTGTTTCGGGTATTTTATCACAGTAAGAGAAATCAAGCTAGAACACCACACACACACACACACACACACACACACACACACACACACACACACACGTCCGACTTCCAGCCCCAAAGGCATCATTAATCTGCAGTTTGACCTTGGACAAACAGTTACTGGTTCAGTGTTTGAAGGGTAGATTTTAAAATCAGAATGCTCTTGGTTCAAAGCCCAGCTCTGCCATTGACTGGCTGAATCGACCGGTTCCATCCCTGTGATCTGCAAAACAGTGGGACTTTATATACGACATACTGGGCGGACTGAATACAAGTCCCCATGGGATCTACTCTTGTCCCACTTTCTCTTTCTAGGCTACTATTTTTCCATCTCAGAAATGATGAGCCCTCTCCACTCTGACACTCTGGGATCGTGATATCCAACATGTCTTATTTTAGCTCGGTGTCTGGCTCGAATGCTGTGATTTTAGTCTGCATGGAGGCTGCACCCTGTTCTCCCTGGAAAGGTCTCCTCAGGTTAGGGTGAAGGCTTGGGGAAGGTTTAGCCTCAAGAGAGCTGTGGGATGGGCAAGGTCATCCTTCTGTAACACAGTAAACTAAAAAGATGGTACCCACATGTAGGCTATGGGGAGCAGAGTGAGGGGAAACCTACCAAAGGTTGTATAAATAGCACACACACACACACACACACACACACACACACACACCAGTCTATTGAAAGGACCTGGTTTCAGTTAAATTAAGAAACACTGAATTAATTTTGATTGCATTAGAGAAATAAGTCAGAATGAATTGAAGTTAGTTGGACTGCGCTGATGGGATGAAGTATACTGGAGCTCCAGTAAGCTGATCTGGATTGAACTGGATTGGACAGAGCTGGAAAGGTAAGACTCCCCAAAGAATAACGCTTGGGTCCCTGGACACTGGCATCATCTGGAAGCGGTTTTCGCTGTTGACTTGTGCATGTGGATCTTAGAACCCTCACATCATCAGGTGACTGCTAACAACTCCCCTCAGAGTTCTTGGAAGATGGAGTGTGAGATCACACATGCTAAAGAAAAAGAGCCTTGCACCTCAGAAGACAGAGGGAGTTGCAGATGAAGTCTGCAGTCTAGCTAATGGCATGCACTGCGAAGTGTTGGTGATGAAGGGCACCAGAAATACACCTTGAAATGCTTTAAAAAAAAAAAAAAAACCCTGAGATATGTGGTAGATAGTTAGACAAAGGGTGTGGATATAGCTTAGATGGTACAGTGCCTGCCTAGGTGCATGTGAACCTGGACTTCCTCCCAGTACCACATAAACTGGGTGTGGTGGCATGTGCCTGTACTTCCAGTGCTGGAAGAAGGTGGAGGCAGGAGGCTCAGAAGTTCAAGGTCATCCTCAGCCACATAGTGAACTTGAAGGCAGCCTGAGCTACAAGATTCTATTTCCAAGAATAGGAAAGGGCCAGGTGGTAGTAGCGCATGCCTTTAGTCCCAGCACTGTAGGTAGCTCTGTCGGGAGGCAGAGGCAGGCGGATCTCTGTGAGTTCAAAACCAGCCTGGTCTACAAGAGCTAGTTCCAGGACAGCCTCTAAAGCCACAGAAAAACCCTGACTTGGGGGGGTGGGGGGGGAAGGGAAACTAAGAAACAAAGAGAAGGGAAGAGCAGGGTAAAGGAGGAGAGGCCAGGGGAGACAATGGAAGGGGCTAGGGGCTAGGGTGAGAAGGAAGGAAAACAGAGACAAAGGTACAGATAAAGGAAAATGTAAACCCAGTAATAGATCATGAGCTGACTGGAATTGGCGGGCCCGTGTTGCTCTCTATGAACTCTCATCTGTTTGTGTGTGTCGGGGGTGGAGGGAAAATTGAAATAATAAAATTCTGCACCCAAAATAGAGAGCTCTGTAAACTGTTAATTGCTAAAATAGCAGTGCTGGTTAAAAATACAACTTCTGGAGGCGAATGATGTGAGTTTGATTCTCCGCTCTGCCCCTCGCTCCTTTGGCCCCAGGCAAATGACTCCACCCCCCCCCCCACTGAAGGAACGGTATCTGTATAATGGGTCTATTAATAGCCCTCACCTTGTGGGCTTCTATAAGGACAGAGCCTGGCACCTAATTAAGCATGTACCTATGGGTTAGCCCACTAAACAACACGGTGCACGGTCACTGTGCTATCTCTACTTCACACAGAGGTCCTACACGCCTCCTAGGCACACATCAAATAAACCACTCAGAGGAAGAAGGTCCCTCTCCGGCTCCCCAAAATCAAAACCATCTCTCACCCTCCTCACCTCTCCCCCAGCCCACAGTCCCTTGGACTCACCTGACAAAATGAAGAAGATGCCAGAAACGAAGGCCAGAATGGTCCTCTGAGGTCGGATGTGGCCGATGTTGCTGATGACGAAGGCGGTGAACACAAGGAAGAGACTGACCATAGGGAAGGGAGTAGCTGTGCGCACTGTCTCTGAGAAAGGTAGACAAGCAGAAGCAGGGGTGAGGGACAAGTCTCCGGTGAGACACCTCCCAGACCCCTTGCTCTTTGTCCCTTTAGTTTCTCCTGTTTCCCACCCACTCCACCCCTTCATTAGCTGTATCCCCTGTTGACTCCACTTTCAACCAAACATGCCCTTCGTTTGACCCCTCCCCTTTCCATCCCAGCCAAGACCCCGAGTTCTCACCTCCCCGTCCCACCCAAGACATTTTTCCTCTTTCAACCCTCTGCCTTTTGTGTGAACCCACCCCTTCCCTACCTAATCAATCCTGCCCTTTCTCCCAAAACCCTCTTGCTCCTGGGACCCTTCCCTGCTCCCCCTCACTCAGAATATTCTCCGTGTTCTCCGTCACCAAGTTGATTTCTGGTTCAAGGAAGTACTCGGAAGCCACACAGCGACCCTTCTCCCGACCTGGAGAGAGAGGGGAGAGATAAGAAAGCGCAGGTGGAGGAGAGGCTCCGGGGCTCAAGGGAGGTTGTCAGGGGCAGAACGAGACCCAGGATGGAGATGGGAAATTTCATTCAACATTTACAATCTATGCTGCTCTTGGGGCTGGAGAAAATAGGCTGAGCCAGCTGAGCCTAGGGATACAGGACTGCACTCATACCTACTGGGGAGTCTGAGGCAGGTTTGTACCTTTCAGGCCAGCTGGGCTGCATAATGAACTAGATCCAGCCTGGGCAATTTAATAAAACCCTGTCTTAAAACAGGACATAAAGCAAAAGCTAGGGATGTAGCTTGGTGGTAGAGCACTTGCCAAGCATGCAAGAGGCTTTGGGTTCTGTCCCAAGTACTGAAAAACGCCATAGAGTGTTGGAAGATCTTGTTTGCTCTGGAGACTGGAGGGTGGAGGGCAGGACTGGATTTTAATGTTCTAAATGATGAGGGGGCTGTGGATGAGAACTCCTGGATTCCCAAGGTCCTCGGAGCTGGGGTTTCTGAAAGGAAACAGTCTCAGTGTTCAGCTAGAAGACAAGCTTGGAGTCTTGGCTCCCCATAAAACACTGGAACTGTCCACGGAGTAAGTTCTGAACCTGAACTGGCTTCGTGTTTTTTTTTTTTTTTTTCTTTTTTTTTTATTTTTGAGAAAGACTCCTGTCTCTCAGGTTGGCTTTGAACTCCCTCAAATGACAGTGGATCACTTTGATCCTCTTGCCTCTGATCTCCCAGGTGCCGTGAGATTACAGACACGTACTCTTACACATAACTTATGAAGTTCCAGGGGTCGATCCCAGGACTTCCTGTGTGCTAAACAAGCATTCGACCGATTGTGCTACCTATACCTTTAGCCCTAGAATTCTGACTTTTTAAAAACTTGTCACTTAAAAAATATATATTACTGATTTCTAGGGGAGAGGGGTGTGAGTGTGCCAGCGGGCAAGTGTGGAAGTCAGAGGCGGGCACCTGCAAAGAAGCAGACTCTCCAGAGGCCAGCGTGCAGCGCCATCTTGACCTCGGTGGTCTGGTTCTGCGGCAAAACGGTCCCCTCCTCCATGTACAGCCAGTAGTCCGTGCTGACCGCGATGCCCACAAGGAGCAGGCCGCAGGCACCAAACACGCTGCTCAGCAGGGTCAGGGCGCGGCTGCTGCAGTGACTCATCCTGAGCGGCGGGGGGCGCCCTACGGGGCCTGCGGGACCAGAAGCTATAGTAGAGAGTACCCAGAATCCCCAACCCATGCAGCCATTTGGGACATTAGCCGTGGTCAGAGACAGAAACTCTGCAACCAAACTCCCAAATCTTATTTCTGAGCAGGTCCCCACCATCCCAGCCCTGAGCTCTGAATAGAGAAAGCAATTGTTGACTCCAAACAACCATATTGGACTTCCCTGACCCATCACTTGCAGCCACAATCTTTAACTCAGACCTGGAGAGGATTCTTGACTTGAGGCACACGTCTAGACCAGAGGTCAAAAGTATCAGGATTCTGATTAGAATCCAAATTCTCAATCCAAGACCGAGTCCCCCAGACTCAACTTCCTATATTGGCTTGCAAGGCCGATTTTAGAAACCAGTCCTTAGCAGTCCTTAACCTTTGAAGTAAGCCAGTGACTCAGAAACTGACCTAATCAACAGCCTCAAATTTTGAGCTGCTACCGCAATCCTGACTCTGCGCCCTGATTAACCTTCAGCTGTGAACACTGGACCCCACCACCACCACACACATCCAAAAGACCTTAAAGTGCATTTTAAGCAAAACTGGGGTGCTAGCTGGGTTTATACACTGAATTATGGACAACTTGATTAATTCAGAAATTCTATCCCACACTGCCCAGCTTTAAGTCTGTGCCCTGAACTGTACACTGAATTGTTTTCTTTAGAATCTGTCTCTGAAGAAGCACATTTGATAATCCCCAAAGTAGGCCACCACCCAAGGCCCCCCGACTCCCACACTTGACTTTGAGCACAGCCTTGCTCTTGGCTTGACACTCTTGGATGCCTAGGGTCACCCTAACACTCCATTGTAATATTTTAAAAGCCGTGTGTGTGTGTGTGTGTTCATGTATATGATAACCAGCTGGCATCTGTCATGCTCAGAGGACAACCTCAGGTGCCTGTCACTTGAACCCTGGACTCTTGTCTCTATCTCCTTCCTCATCATAGAAATGCCTTCATTACAGATACATGCTGCCATGATCGGCCTTGTGTGGGTTCTAGGACTCTGAGTTTGGGTCATCTTCCTAGCTTGGGGTCAAATCAGTCATACCATCTCAGATCAAACCTAATCCTACTCTTCTAGATCCAGGCATGCCCCTGAATCTGGGGTGCTGGATGTTAGGACCCAGAGATCTGAAGCTACCATCTGGATTAGAGACTCTAGCATATCAAGAGCTTGAGCTGCCTCCCTCCCACCCAGCATTCCCAACCAGACAACTCCAGTGAAACCAATGCCCCTCATCCTGCAAACAAGATACCAGCACTCTGAACTGACCATCCAATCAGGAATTCCAGTACACCCCACCCAGCTCCCAAATCTTGCCAGACCCTGGTTTCCCATGATGGAACTTTCCAGTCAGTAGTGTCTCAGTCCTGCACTCACCAAGCAAGAAATACCCAATCAATTATACCTGAGGCCTCCCAAATTCCAATTAGGAGTTCAGATGTGCTAACTGGGGCAGGAAGGGGGGAGGTCCTGAAGGTTTCCAAAATCTCTCTTATGTATTTATTGAGAGAGAGACAGAGACAGATAGAGAGACCTCTATTGCACCATGTGGAGGTCAGAGAACACTTTGAGAGTTGGTTCTTTCTTCTCAATATATGGGTCCGAGGGATCTAGCTGAGGTCATCCATTAAGCTCTGAAGCAAGCACCTTTACCAGCTAAGCCATCTCAACAGCCCTAAATTTTCTACCTACACTTACACACACACTCCCAACTCACTGCACAAGAAATCCTTCCTTGCTACAAAATGCCACGATGTGCATGCAGGATTCATCTTGGCATCCCCCAATTTACCTCAGCAAGAGTCTTTTATGACCAGAGAGAGACACTCATTCCCCATAAAAATAAGTAGATATTGTGTGTGCGTGTCTGCATGTTGGGTATGTTGAGGAGAATGCAAGTTCACTAGGAGGCCAAAGCTGATAGATACCCCTGCAAGAGAGGCCAGAGGTGACAGATACCCTGGAACTGGAATAACAAACTCCAGTCTTCTGGAAGAGCAGCAAGTGCTCTCAACCACTCAGCCGCCATCTCTCCAGCTCCCACCCATTATCTTTTTCATTATAAAGTTTGAGACACCTCCCCTAAACATTTCCCCAACCGGGCAAGTGGGAATCCACTTCATCCCAATAAAGACCCTAGCACCAAAGGCGACATCCCGGCACTCCGAGTCTCCAGAACTCACTCATTTCCAACCTCAGCCTCGTGGAGGACCCAAAGATCTAGATACTGTCAGAGCTCTGGCTGGCTCTCCCTCCCATCCCCCTCCCAGTGGCTCTGGAGCTTGACCGCCAGCTGCCTGCTCCGCTTCCAGTCCTCGGCTCAAACAAGCTTTATCCACCCAATCACTCAGTCACTCACTGAACTGTCTCGGTCCAGGTAGCTGACCTCAGCCTCCGGGTCTGACCGCTCCTCCGACGGACCCTTCCAACTCCCCTCACGTCTCACATTAATCCCTCTCCTTCTCCCGTCCAGTTCATCCTCTTTCTACCTGACCCACTCTGAGCTCGTTATCTGCAGCCATCCCTCCTCTGGGACACCCCCACCTCCACCAACACCAGGCCTAGGGGATCTCCTTCTGGTTTTTTTACCCCAGCGTTTTCTGCGATCTGGATATTTGAATGGCTGAAGTTCCAATTCTCAAAGCCCAAGTCCAAACTCCATCTCCTAGAGTGTATGTAACTCTTGGCTCTTCTAGGGACCCTTTCCCAGACTCACAGCTTCCTCTACCGGCCTGGGCCCTCCTCCTTTATCCGCTACCCCTTTTCTCAAAGACCCTACCAGGTTCCTGCCCAGTGGAGACGATCTCTGAACTAACTCAAACCCCATGAGTTTGTTTTCTTACTCCCGGACCCTCGGACCCCTCACCCCCCCCCCCTGGGATCCACCAGGCCCAAATGTCCCTCCATCCACCCAGACCTTCCCAAATCCGACATTGGAACCCCAGGATCCCACTCCTGGAGCCCCTTTAACGTCCCGGAGCCCCAACTCCCGCTGAGAGTGGTCTAGCGCGGAGCCCCCGGTCTTGCCGGACCCTTCCCTCGCGCTTACCTCTCTCAGGGCTGGGCGGACGCTCCGGGCCGCGGGCCCCGCAGCCGCATGACCGGCCACGCGGTTTCCCCCGGCCGCCGCCGCCGCCACCGGGGTCTCCGGTGCCCGCGCCCCCCGCCCCCGCCCCCGAGCCCGGCGTCCCGGCCCCCTCCCGGCCTCCCACCCCCCACCCCCCGCGCCCGCGGCCTCACTCGGCGGACGCAGCCGGGAGCAGGGACCGGCGGCCGCTCATTGGCTACTGCGGAGGAGGGGAGGGGCGGGGAGGGAAGGGGGAAGGATGCAGAGAGGGAATGAGATGAGCCTTCAGGATGGGGGGGGGAGAGGCAGGGAGAGAGAGAGAATAGATAGAAACAGAGGCTGAGAGCCCGAGAGAGAGAGAGAGAGAGAGAGAGAGAGAGAGAGAGAGAGAGAGAGAGAGATATTCTGGAACTCACGAGTCCTGAGACTGGAGGAGACAGACAGAAAAGGAGAGACAGAGATGGAGTAGTTTCAGGTGTCTCCACCCCCCACCACTACAGAGGCTCAGAGATTTTGAGGCCCTGGAAGTGGAGAGGTCAGAGAGCCCCAGAATCCAGGCAAGGGAAGCTCAGAAGTCTTGGGCCAAGGGAAACTGAAATTCAGGGATCTTGAGCTTGCAGATGGGGTGGGGAAGATAGAGAAATAGAGATAGATGATAGATAGATAGATAGATAGATAGATAGATAGATACTCTCTGAGGAGAGACAGCAGGGGCAAGCCGGAGTTGGGGGGGGGTTGTCCCCTGATGAGGACTAGGGCTGTAGCCAGGCAAGGGGCGGAGCCTGGGGTCTGGGCAGCTGGAGAAGGCGGGAAGGGGCGTCCCGGGCCGGGGTCCCTAGAGCAGCTGGCTGGCAGGCGCAGAGCAGAGCCGGGTCCTGCAGCCGCCGCGGAGCCGGGAGCGGGGCCAGCCCCCCCCCACCCGCCGTGATGTCAGCGGGGCCACTCTTAAAGGGGCAGGCCGCCCGCCGAGGGTCGGAATTTGGGCTAGGGCCTTCAGGAACCGGAGAGGGGTGCAGGAGGGGTGATGCCGGAGAAAGGGATAGCTTTAGAAACCAATTGGAGTGAGACTTGGAAATCCAGAGAAGAGATGTTAGGCCCTCCAAGAAACCTACTATGTATGCTTTTGAGACTCTGTCCCCTCTAAACACACTGACAGGCACACCATTCTGCTAGCCTGCCCGTTCCAGAGACTACATTCCCCATCAGCCCTGGCGGCCAGAGGCCAGCACCTGGTGTGTATGGGGGGGGGGGGAGGCGGCTGATCAGGGTCTTCTCCGATGTCTTCTGGGAAACGTAGTCTATTTTGATTGGCCCCCTCCACTCCCCACTCCCCTCCTCACACACTTGCAACTGGGTCAGGAGAGAAAGAGGCCGGGAGGACGCTTCTGCCTACCTTCTGCCTTGCTAACTGGTTTCTAAGCTCCCAGGTTCTGATCGTCTCGGCTTCTGTAACATGGGGTCCTTTCTGATCATTTCTGTCTCTCCACAGGGGGCCAGCCTTTCATCTCTCTCCTCAGGACTTCTCTGGATCCTGGTGTAGGGTGTGTGTGTGTGTGTGTGTGTGTGTGTGTGTGTGTGTGGTGTGAGTGCGTGTTTGCACTTTGCTCTGGGTGAATATGTACGTGTGGTATCTGGCTGAAGGGTCGTTCATTTGCTCACACAATTAATGGTCGAGGGACGTTCTTCCTCATTACGTATGTGACCAAAGTGGTCACGTTGGTCTTCTCTGAAGCAGTTTCTGTGTGCCGCTCACACGCCAAAGGTGTCTTCTCTTTCATTTTATGGGTCTGTGCATTTTCTCTCCCCCACCGCTCTCCATACCCGCTATGTTTGCTTCTATGTACAGCCGGCCCACCTCCGCACCCCCTTCATTCCCCAAGCTTATGAGAAAACATCCAAACATTTTAGCATCAGCATCCCAAATTTATTCTCCAGCAGCTGTGTCTGGGTGGGAGAGGCTAAAGGAAGGGGAGGGGGGTGAGGGAGAAGAAAGTCCCAGAGAGTGGCAGGCACTGCGGAGGACAAGGGTGGGTAGGTGTGATTCTGACCAAGGCTGGGGCCATGCACCGGGGCAGGTGAGCAGTGATGGGTTCTGGAACAAGTCTAGAACAAAAGCTGACTGACAACAGTCCGGGAAAGAATCCTCCGTGCATGCCAGGAATCCCCAGAGCGTGGAAGGGAGGTGGCATGGAACACGGAGCCCAGCTTCTCACTTAACTCTACAACTCAAGTGGAGGTAGCAGGAGCCTTGAAGGATGCGGGCGGGCTGATCTGGAATCTTAGTCTGGAGCAGGCAATCTCATGAGACTATTTCCCCCAGGGTGGTGTAGGGGAAAGAAAGGCATAAAACTACCAAGATGGAGTCTAGAACCCCACACGGAGTAGAGTTTCCGGGAACAATTAGAAGAGCATCCAGATGTTGGGGGGTGGGGGCAAGACTCAGCACAACGGAATCTAGAACACAGGAAGGCCATGGCATTTAAAATGTCAGCAATGCTTGGGAACAGCATCTAGAACCCGTTGGGGTGCAGAAAAGAGGCCAAAAGGCTGGGGCGGGGGTGAGACCTAGAATCCGGGCGGGGGTGGGGGGGGAGCTGCAGCCTGCATGGCGGGGGTAGGGGGTAAGAGGTAGGGGTGGGGAGGGGGCACTAGGGACACCTAGCGGCGGCAGATGAGATTACATGACAGGCACAGGCACTGGGCTTGTGGGGCTACGGGCATCTGGGTGCACGAAATCCGGGTTCACATAGGTAAAACCCTGGAAATCCGCTTGGTCGATGCTGGCTAGGACCAGGCGGTCTGGCGGGGTCAATGCTGGCGCCGCGCGCGTGAAGAACTTGTCAAAGTTTTCGCCACTTCGCCCACACTGTTTTAGGAACGGTTGAAAAATTAAGCCCTGATAATCAGAACCTATGCACACCTCCCCCATGGACTCTGATGAAGGGTCCCCCCACCTCCTCACAAGGTATTGAAGCTCGTAAGCCCCACTCCCCAGGAACGGAAGCTGGGAGAGCAACTGACCGGTCGTGGTCTGAAAGGAGGTGCAATCTCCAGTCTTTCCAACCTCTCCCAGTCGATCCAACGGAAAAAGCCATGTGCCCGGATGGTGGGTTCACCATCTGGCCCTGAACCCAGGCGCTTTCCCGGGTGCTTGGTCAGGAACTGCAGAAGACACAAAGAAGGCCTGCTAGATAGCTCAGTGAGTAAAATCACTTGCCACCATGCCTGATAGATGACCTGAGTTCGATCCCAAGGACCCACAAGATGAAAGAGGAAAAATGACTCCCTAAAATTGTGCTCAGAACTCCTTATATGTGCTATGCTATGTTTGTGCACACAAAATCAACAGATTTTAAAAATGCAATTTAAAATGCCTTAAAAATCATGTGTGGTGGTATAAAGGTCAGAGAGAATAAAAGAATCATAAAAAATCGGGTGGGGGGGTCTTTAGTATCAGCCCTAGGGAGGCAGAGGCAGGCAGATCTCTGTGAGTTCTAAGCCAGCCTGGTCTACAAAGTGAGTTCCAGGACAGCCAGTGCTGTTTCACAGAGAAACCCTGTCTTGAAAAACAGAGAGAGAGAGAGAGAGAGAGAGAGAGAGAGAGAGAGAGAGAGAGAGAGAGAGAGAGATCCCAAAGAAGGAGGAAGGAAAGAGAGGGAAAGATGGGGAAGAGCTGGAAATAGGCAATCTCCTATGGGCCAGGCACTTCTGCACCAACTGAGGAAGAAGAAACTGAGGGTTACAGTCTGGGCGACTCATCAAGATCCCTAAAGAATAAAAGTCAAAGCTGGGAAATCAGCATAGGACCGACCCCAGACCCCCTGAACATGGGTCTCAGTTAGGAGGCCTGGGCAGTCTATGGGACCTCTGACAGTGGAACCAGGATGTATTCATGGTGCACGAAAAGACTTCTGGAGCACATTCCCCATGGAGGGATACTCCCTTAGCCTAGAGGCTGGAGGGAGGGCCTAAGCCCCACCCAAAATGATTTGACAGATTTTGATGATCTCTCATGGAAGGCCTCATCCTCCCTGGGGAGTGGATGGGAATGGGAGGGGGCAGGAAGGAATGGGAGGATGGGAAGGGGAGGGAACTGGGACCGATATGTAAAATAAGAAAAAAATTTAAAAAAGAATAAAAGTCAGAGGCATTGGTGGTAACATGACCAACCCAGCTCTATAAAGGCATTTTGGCATTTCCTGCAGTATGCAAGGATGTGGGTGCTGCAAAAGATGTTCTTGGTCAAGGATGACAAGGTGGCAAAATATTTTTTGCAGCAGATGGCCAAAAAGAAGTTTGAGTGATAGGAAACTTTTTCTAAGAGAAATGGCAACTGGGGTGCATGGGCTGCAGGTCTGGAGAAGCTGGGAGCTGGGGCTCTCACCCCCTTGCAGATGGCCACAGCTTCCCGGGAAAGTGACTTGGGATAGGTGACAGTTTGTTCCATGATGGCTTGAAACAGCTCCTCCTCATCTTCCCCATCAAAGGGTGGCTACAAAGGTAGAAAGAATGATGTCAGAGTGTGACAGGCTGCCTTTCCCAAGCATGCGTCCCTTCATTATCAATTTCAAATTCAACTATGGGGGGGGGACTAGAAAACCATCCCACCTTCATCTCCAAATGCCTCTCACACACACCCCAGTTCTGTGTATCTATCTACTCTCTGCCTGTCTTTTCCTGCTATGCAAATCAACGGGGTGTTAATTAGGCAATATATCATCTAATGAGAGAGGGAGGGAAGGAGAGAGATACACAAGAGGGACAGGGATTCAAAGAAGGAGAGACTGCAGGGAAGAATGGCAATTATTATCCTCACTAAAAGTGAAGGTTTGTTCACTTGTTTGCTTGACTGTTTTGAGACATGATCTCATATAGCTCAGGCTATGTAACCAAAGATGACCCTGAACTCCTAATTCCCTTATGTCCACACATAAGTGTTAGGGTTACAGACATGTAATACCACACACAGTTATTTTTAATTTAAAAACATCCCTCCCCCTAGGTGGGGGTGGGGGTGGTGCACACCTTTAATCCCAGCACCTGAGAGGCAAAGGCAGGCAAATCTCCGTGAGTTCGAGGCAGCCTGGTCTACAGAGTGAGATCCAGGACAGCCAGAGCTGTTACACAGAGAAACCCTATCTCCCCTCAAAAAACAAAAACAAACAAACAACAAAACAAAGAAAAACCATGAAGACCACGAGAAAAATGTGAAACAAAAGCAAAATTAACAGGAGTGAAACAATGTTTCAGGACCGTGGACAGCGCTATCCTGACCCATCTTCCCTGAAGATCAGCATATTTCTTTCAAACGGGACCACCTGTTTCTTCAAGAATAATGCCACGTGCACGTAAAAAGGGACATCCACTCTACGGGGCCATTAGTTAAGCTAACACCTCTCCACTTCCCCTTACCTGTCCTGCTAACATCTCATACAGCAAGACCCCGAAAGACCACCAGTCAACAGACTTCCCATACGGCTGGTAGGCAATGATCTAAAAGAGAAAGAGGAAGAGAGACTTTCTGAGACAGAGTCTCACGTAGTTCAGTCTAGCTTTGAACTAACCATGCATTGGAAGATGACTTTAAGCTCTTCTTTCTCCTGCCTCCACCTCCCGGGTGCTAGGAATTCAGATACATGACACCATATCTGGCTGTGACTTCTTTAAGACGTGCAGGATACCTTCGGCCTCTCTGTCTCTCTGTCTCTCTGTCTGTCTGTCTCTCTCTCTCTCTCTCTCTCTCTCTCTCTCTCTCTCTCTCTCTCTCTCTCTGGATCCTGACCCATATCAAGTAAAATATTCTCCACACTGAATAGTAAGAGCTCCATCCTTTGGGAAATCCAGGAAATGATGTTTATATACTTACCAGGTTCCTTTACTGTCATATATAAAGGTTACCTAAGGGCTGGCAATATAACAGCACATGACATGCACACACTCTCGAGAGTGCACACACACACAATACTTTTTTTAAGTAAAGAAGACAGACTTCAAAAAGTTCTCCTCCAACCTCCACAAGCATGCTGTGACATGTGTGTCCATGCATACACAAAATAATAAATGATAAACTTAAACCTAATATTTTAAAGACTATCTAGGCCAAGCATGGTGGCACATGCCTTTAATCCCAGCACTTGGGAGGCAGAAGCAGACAGATCTATGTGAGTCTGAGAAGCAGGACAAGTAGGGCTACACAGAGAAACCCTGTCTCAAAAAACAAACAAAGAAACAAAAAAGCCTGAGGGCCAAGGAACAAGTCCCACCCACATAGAATATTCTGAGTAACTACACCTTCTGTTTGAATGCTATGAATACAGAATACAGAGCTAATCTTTTTTTTTTTTTTTTTTTTGCTAAATCATATATCTTATTTTTGAAATGTTTCCTTTATTTATTTACTGGGGTACTGCATACCATGGCTTCCATGAGGAGGTCAAAGAATGACACTGAGGAGTCAGGTTTCTCCTTCCACTATGTGGGTTCCCAAATCATCGGTCCTGGGAGTCAGTGTTTTAAAGACCAGATAATGTTTTTTGGTTTTTTGTTTGTTTGTTTGTTTGTTTGTTTTTGTTGTTATTGTTTTTAAGACAAGATTTCATGTAGCCCAGGTTAGTTGTCTCTGTAGACAAGGATGACCTTGAACTCCTGATCCTCCTGGCTCTGCCTCCTGCATGCTAGGGTTACAGAAGTGAGCCACCATACCTGATTACATTCTTTTCTCTTTCCTTTTATATGTTCTTCTCCCAAGCAGTACAAGGTCTCACTACATAGTTCCAGGTGTCTTCAAACTGGAGACCTTCCCATTTGAGCCTCCCAAGTGCTGAGATTAAATATACGCACCACCACCCTTGGCTAAAACACTAGATTTTTTTTTTTGCTTGTTTGTTTTTAATAATTATATGTGTATTTATTATGTATACAGTATTCTGCCCAAATGTATCCCTGCAGGCCAGAAGGGGGCACCAGATCTCATTATAGATGGTTGTGAGCCACCATGTGGTTGCTGGAGATTGAACTCAGGACCTGTTAACCTCTGAGCCATTTCTCCAGCCCCCTTGTTTTGTTTTTTGAGGCAGGGTTTCTCTGTGTAGCCATAGCTGTCCTGGAACTCACTCTGTAGATAAGATGGCCTAGAACTCACAGAGCTCTGCCTGCCTCTGCCTCCTGAGTGCTGGGATGAAAGGCTAGCACCACTGTGCCCAGCTAAAGCAGGAGGTTCTTAAACCAGGAGAATTCTTGTTACAATAAGCCAGAGTCAGAGTCAGGACTGTGTGTGTGTGTTTCCACCTTGCTGCAATGAGTTCAGGTCACCAGGAACGTTTTGTGACCAATGACATTAACTACTTGGACCCTAGCACTGGTCCACTATAAAGGTCAAGAGGGAGCACCCCCAACACAATAGCCTCCATGGTTTAGAAAAGCCAGTTCTTAATACTACCCACTATAGTATGAACCTTCTAAGTATTTCCTCCAGCCCCTTAACACCAGGGAGTTCTTCTACTCATTGATCATATCCAACGGGAAGTTTTCTGCTCCCCTAGGGAGCTCCAGGGTCTGTCCTTGCCCTCTCAGAACATCAGGAGGGTGATGATCTACTTCTACTACAGAATGAATGAGGCACCTGGGCTTGGTGCTCAGATTAGCAAAGTGTTTTCCTGGCACACATGAAAACCTGGGTCTGAACCGCAGTAACATATAAACCCCAGTATGTTGTCAAATGTTAACCATTCTTCCAGGACCAATGGATGGATAGGCAGAGGGATCATAAATTGAAGGTCATCCTCATTTACACAGTGTTTCAGCCCAGGATACTTGATATCCTGTCTTAAAAACAAAAAGGGGAAGGATAAAAAGTCTGGAGATGGTGGTGCACACCTTTAATCCCAGCACTCGGGAGGCAGAAGCAGGTGGATCTCTGTGAGTTCAAGGCCAGCCTGGTCTACAGAGCGAGTTCCAGGACAGGCTCCAAAGCTACACAGAGAAGTCCTGTCTTGGGGTGGGGGTAGGGGAGAGCAAAAACCAAAAGGGGGCTGTGTGGCTTAGTGGTTAAAACTGCTTGTCACATAAACGTGAGAACCGGAGTTTGGATCCCCAGAACCCACATAAACACCAGGAGGGTGTAGCAGCCTTGGAAAGTGGAGGCAGAAGGCAAGCTGGCTAGGGAGACTAGCCTAATCGGCAAACTCTGGGTTTGACTGAGAGAATTTGCCTCAACAAATAAAATGGAAAAATGGTGAAGGATTCCTACCGTAACCCTGGGCTACCACACAAATGCACAAATGTGCCTACATCCATGCAAACATGCGTATACATGCATACACTACACACACATATACTCGCGCAGAAAAAAAATGGAAAATTTTCCTTAAAAATCAACAACAAAGCTACATGTGTTATCCATGAGCTGCCAAGCAATTCTGTACTAAAGGGTAAGCCCCACCCAGTCTGCACACAGGAGAGACAAAGCCTCACACCAGGCATAATGTTCTCAGGCCTTCCCACTCAAAACACGCTAGAAATAGTCTCCACCTTCTTCACTTTGGCATAGTGCATGCTCTACTCACGCTCCTGCAAGCTGATCCTACTCTTGGATGCTACTCATCCCCTAGTCCTTCTGGCTTTACCCATTTGAAGTAGATCTAACCCACTGTGACTGGCACCATTCCCTAGGCAGGACAGTCTGAAAGTGTATGAATGGTATGCGTGAGCAAATACATGTGTTAATTCATTGCTTTCTGCTTGCCACGTGAATGTGACCAGCTCCCCAACTTAAAGTGCTCGGCATATGGGTCTCTCCACTCAGGGCGTTGGTGGAGACTACCATGGATGGCGGCTGCCAAGATGCCCACAAACCTGGAACAAGCCTTGACTACTAGACAATAGCACCCGCAGAGCAGCAGGCTCGGGGTTACCTCCGGTGCTATGTAGTCTGGGGTCCCACAGAAGGTTCGGGTTGTGGACCCAGGGAAGACATTCTCTTTACACATGCCAAAGTCTGTGATCTTGATGTGTCCTTCAGCATCCAGCATCACGTTATCCAACTTGAGGTCCCTGGAGGATGAGAGCGCAAGCTAGAATTGCACAACAGTGGTGTGATGGTCAACTTGATACACTCCGCTACCCCCCCCAGGAAGACAGTCTCAATGAGGGATTTGTCTAGATCAGGTTGGCCTATGCACATGTTTGTAGAGGGCTTCCCTGATTACTTTTTTTTTAATTTATGTATTTCTTATTTTACGTGCATTGGTGGTGTGCCATGGGTGGCCAGTCCCCTAAAACTGGAGTTACAGACTATTGTGAGTTGTCATGTGGGAGCTGGGAACTGAACCTGGGTCCTCTGAGAGAGCAATCAGTGCTCTTAACCATTGAGCCATCTCTCCTGCCCCCTTCCTTGACTACTTTGATTGAAGTAGGCAGACTTCAATACCACTCCCTAGGCAGGAAAGCTCATGGGAAACACAAGATGAGCACTAGCTTCCTGAATTAATTCATTGCTCTCTACTCTTACCAGTGGGTGTGAACAGCTTTGACTTCTCCTCAGTGATGGAAACTGTGAGCCAAACCAAACTTTCCCTCCCCTTGGCCCTTTCTTTCTTTCCCTTTTTCTTTCTTTCTCCTTTGTATCCTTTCTTTCTCTCTTTGGTTTCATTTGTTTATTTTCATTTGTTTGTTTGGTTGGTTTTGTTTTGTTTTTCGAGACAGGGTTTCTCTGTATGGCTTTGGACCCTGTCCTGGAAACCAGGCTGGCCTTGAACTTACAGAGATGTGCCTGCCTCTGCCTCCCAAGTGCTGGAATTAAAGGCTTGTGCCACCACTGCCCAGTGTCCCTTGGTTGTTTTTCTTAGGTTAAAAAAGTGTGTGTGTGTGTGTGTGTGTGTGTGTGTGTGTTGTGTGTGTGTCCCTGTGTCGAGGTACCTGGGGCAAGGTGCAAAAGAGGATGTCATGGCAAAAGTGGTTGTGGCACAGGCCTTTAATCCCAGCATTCAGGAGGCAGAGACAGATGAATCTGTAAGTTCGAGGCCAACCTGGTCTCGTGAGTTCCAGAACAGCCAGGGCTACACAGATGAACCCTGCCTCAAAAAGCAAACAGAGGATGTCCTATCTCCTGGAGCTGGAGTTACTGGCAGTTGCGGGTCCTCTGCAAGGGCAGCAAAGTGATTTAATTGCTGAACAATCTCTCCAGCCCCCTTGTGGTGCGCTTTAGAACAGCAATAAGGCACAAAACCGGAGGCAACTAGCGTTCAGCATCCTGGAGCTGTGTGTTGAAATTCCATCATCCCCTTCAAGGGATGTGTTTCCCTCTGTGGAAAGTGCTGGGGATACTAACCTGTAGATGATGCCCTGGTTGTGAAGGAAGAAGAGACCTATCGCGATTTCCGCAGCGTAGAATCTGGAGGAGCACGTGGGAAGTTGGAAGGTTAATGACAAGACCACCCCCTCCTACCTCCCATTCCCTTCACCTGCGCTGAGACTTACGCTGCATGGGGCTCCTTAAACTTGCCCAGTTGCTGAATGTGATACATTAAATCCCCTCCGGTGACGTACTCCATCACGAAATACAGGCGGTCCTGGGGAGGAGTGGGTGTGGCTTAGCGTCAGGGACATACCACATCTGGACGGAAAAGCTTTTTGGTTTGGTTTGGATTGGGTTTGGGTTTTGGAGACAGGGTTTCTCTGTAGCTTTGGAACTTGTCCTGGAACTCGCTCCGTAGATCAGGCTGGCCTCAAACTCACCGAGATCCACCTGCCTCTGCCTCCCCAGTGCTGAGATGAAAGGGCTGTGCCACAACTGCCTGTCATCATATGTGTGCCTGGTGCCTTTGAGTGTCAGGAGAGGACATTCGATGCCCTGGATTTGGAGACTCAAGATAACTGTATCCTCAATGTGGATGCTGGGAACTGAGCCTGGGTCCTCAACAAGAGGAGCTAGAGCCATTTCTCTCTCTCTCTCTCTCTCTCTCTCTCTCTCTCTCTCTCTCTTTTTTTTTTTTTTTTTTTTTTTTTTTTTTTTGAGTCAAGATCTCAGCCAGTGGTGGTGATGGTGCACACCTTTGATCCCAGCACTTGGGAGGCAGAGGCAGATGGATCTGTAAGTTCGAGGCCAGCCTGGTCTACAGAGCAAATTCCAGGATGACCATGGCTAAAACAGAGAAATCCTGTAACGAAAACAAACAAGCAAACAAAAAGACAAGAAAGGTCTCATGCAGCTCAAGGTAGCCTTGAACTCACTATATAACAGAGGATAACCTTAACAAACTCATGATCCTCCTGCCTCAGACTTCCAAGTATTGGGATTACAGGTATGGTCTACCACAGCCATCTAAGAACAGCTCTTTCTGCCAGGGGCTGGAGTGATCGCTTGGTGGTTAACAGCACTGGCTGCTCTTCCAGGGAACCTAGGTTCAATTCCCATGGCAGCTCAGAGAGAGAGAGAGAGAGAGAGAGAGGAAGGGAGGAGAGAGAGGAAAAACAGCTTTTTCCTCCTGCCCACCTGGGACAGACATGGAGACCTCCCGATTCACTTAGCCAGTAATCCAGAGGAATTGGACAAACACACAGGAAGGTTCCAAGATTCTAACCCCGGTACCGAAGAATCTCCTCAACTCTATCTCTGTTACTCTAATTACCCAACTTTCTAAGAGACCCAGAGAACTGGATTGATATCCAGGAGCATTGAATCTCATGCAACATCAACACACACATCTAATGCTAGCCGTCTGGGACTAGAGGTGATTAGGCTTCATTTGCAACTATTATTTTTTGTTTATTTAGGGGGAACTAGTACATATAGATGGTGTATGCATGCGTGTATATGTGTGCACTGTGTATATGTGTTCATGTAGGTATAAGTATGCATGTGTGTATGTGTGCATGTAGTATGTGCATGTATGGGGTCAGAGGACATAGGATGTCCACCTCAATCTCTCTGCCTTATTCTCTTGAGGCAGGATCTGTTAGTGAACCCAGAGTTAAGGTAGCAACCAGTAAAGATACTGTTTCCATCCTCACCCCCACAACACTAGTATTACGGGTATTCACGAAGCCACACCTGGCTTTCTACATGGGTGACAGAGATTTGAACTCAGAACCTCATATGTGCACAGCAAGTGTTCCTACCCACAAGCCATCTCTCTGGCCCTTATTATTATTTACAGGATCTCCACCTCTGTGGGCCAAGGTAAGCTCAATTTCATGACAATCCTCCTGCCTCAGCCTCCCAATGCCAGGATGACAAATGTGTGCCACTAATACTCAGTTGCCTGAAATTAATTTTTGCTTGGTCAGAGGCCAGAGAAAGTGAAGTCATCTCCTCCCCAAGCCATGTGGATTCTAACTTCTTGTTCAATCCCTCAGTCTCAGGGAAACACCCTTTCATGACTCATCCTTTGGTCAGAATCCAAAAGTGATGAGCTCACTGTAGAAGTCCAATCATTCTGGGTGTGTCCAATTAGAAGACATCCCTAAGGCCTAGCATTCACAAAGCCCTAGGTTGATTCCCAGCATGGCATAAACAGGCTCATCCTCCAATATATAACAAATCCAAGAGCAACCTGGACTACCTGAGACCCTGTCTCAAGGAAAGAGAAAAAGAAAGAAAACATTCCCATATAACTCCTTTCTGGGCACAAAGTCTCAGAACACTGGCTACAGGCATTGGAAATTGAGTATATAGGAACCACAGACATTCTAGCAACACACACTCAGATCCCACCCTCCGGCCCTGCCCCGCATGGCACCAGCATCCCCACCCCCCACGGGATCCGACTTGTATGACCACATTCATTCATCTTTAAAATTGATTTTTATGGGAGGTGGTGGCACACACTTTTAATCTCAGCACTTGGGAGACGTCTGAGGCAGGCTGATCTCTGACCTTGAGGCCAGCCAGGCCTACAGAGTGAGTTCCAGGACAGCCAGGGCTACACCAAGAAACCTTGTCTTGAAAAAAAAAAAAACAAAAAAGGAAGAAAATAATAAAATAAATAAAATAAATTTTTAAAATCATTTTAAGTTATGTATATTGGGGAGCAGGCATGTGCATATGAGCTCAGGGATCCCCAAAGACCAGAAATATCAGATCCCCCTGGAGCTAGAGTTACAAGTGGTTTACCAGCCACTACACAATTGATGGAAACCAAACTCAGGTGTTGTGCCAGAGCAATGCGTTCTCTTCACTACTGAGCCATCCCTCCAGATCACTCATTTAATTTACTTTGTAGCCCTGGCTGTCCTGGAACTCGCTCTATAGACCAAGCTGGCTTGGAACTCACTCTGCCTCCCGAGTGCTCGGATATAAGATGTGCACCATCACCCCCAGCCTTGTTCATTCATTTTAACAATTTGTTCATAGTTGTATGTGGTATGTAATAAGTGTGGTTACATGCGCATGAGCCAATGTGTCCCATGTGGATGTCATGGTGTCTTCCTCATTGCCTGGAGACAGGGTCTTTCACTGAACTGGAAGCTCACCAAAATGACAAGCCTGGGGACCCACTTGTCTCTGGCCCCCAATGCTGAGACTGTGGAACACACAGATACCTCTGACATCTTAAGTGAGGACTGGGATTCGAACTCAGGCCCTCACACTTGTGATGAAACCACTCTTACCCAAAGTGCCATCCATCTCTCAGCCCCGGCCACATCCTCTCAGAGCACCACGGCTTCTAAACCATGAGCCCATCCCTCCTTCCTCACCGGAGTCTGAAAGGTGGAGTGAAGCTGTGTGAGAAAGTGGGGCCGGCCTCCGGGACCTCGGCCTCCCAGTGCCAGCACGCGCTTCTCCACGAGGGTGCAGTCCACGTCGTCATCCTGGACTATGACATCTTTTTTCAGGATCTTGATGGCATAGAGCTCATCGGAACCTCTGCGTTCTGCCAGCATCACCTACAGACACATGGCCGAAAGCTCCAGTCCATTTGTGACACCCAGTGCTACAGGTCCCTGCACTGCTCCTCACATAGAAGCCAGCATGAAAGCCCCTTCCTCCTCTCTTTGGGAGGACTGGGTGTTCTGCAATTCCATCTACTCCCCTCAATAAAAGTACTGGCATATTTAATTTTTATCACAGTCATTTGTTATGGTGAGTGTGTGGAAGTTAGTGACAACTTGGGGGAGTCAGTTCTAACATTCCATCACTCGGGTCCTGAGAATAGGACTCAGGTAGTCTGGCTTGGTGGCCAGCACCTTTATCTGCTCTGCTATCTCAGTGGCAAGTGCCTTTACCTGCTGAGCTATCTTACCAACCCAGTATTGATATACTTATAGCAGAAATATCCAGATAGCCTATCTTTTTTTTTTTTTTAATGTGCATTGGTGTTTTGTGTGCATGTCTGTGTGACGGTGCTGGATTCCTGGAACTGGAGTTACAGACAGCTGTGAGCCACCATGTGATTGCTGGGAATTGAACCTGGTTCCTCTGGAAGAGCAGCCAGTGCTCTTCACCGCTGAGCCATCTCTCCAGTCCAGTTAGTCTCCCATTCAAACTTCCTCCCTAAGGAATAGAAATCCAACCTCTCTACAGGCCTCCTCCCCTTCCCCAGAACCCCAAGGAATCTAACCTTCCCAAAACTGCCTTTCCCTAGAACCATGAGGAAGCTGAAGTCGGAGATATGCAGGCGTCCTGGGCTTGCACTGAAGAAGCATCTCTTGGAGTCGGTGGGGCTGGGGGATGGGGAAGGGATGGGGGAGGAAGAGGGGCCCATGCGCACTCTCTGTGAGAAAGAAGAGAGATCCAGAGACAGTCAGAACCTGGAGATGTCCAAGAGACACAGCACCCCAAAATGAAAAGGGCCAAGGAAGACAGAATGGAGAGAAAATGGCATTATCCTCATTCTGTGTTTAGCTTAATAACTAATAATCCCAGCCTATAATCCCAGCACTAGGAAAACTGAGGCAGGAGGATCAAGAGTATAAGACCAGTCTGGGCTACAAGACCTTGTCTCAGAAAATGAGAAAGAGGGGAGAGATGGGGGGGAGGCAGGGAGGGAGGAGGAGATACAAAGTAAAAAGAAAATTAAGAAAGAGAAAGAATAAGGAAGGGAGAGAAGTATTCAGTGAGGGAGAAAGGGAGGGAGGCAGGTAGAGAGGGAAGGAGGGAGAGAGGGATTCTCCATTGCTTGCCCCGTGGATCTATTATTTAACTAACACCTAGTCAGATCCAAAGGATCCACATCTCTAGATTTGTACCTGTTAGCCTCTAAACCAAGACTCCTTGACAGGTCAGCAAAAAAAAAACAGTAGGGCCTCACTGCCACGTATTCTGGAGATGGGACCTGGGAACTTGATCTAAGGGGTCTGAAGACAATACTGAATTTTCAATGATTTAAATGATGTTCTCATCATTTCTGGCCTCTACCTCTAGTGGAGGGAGGGGAGAGGATCCCATAACTAAACTGCAACAGTTGCCACACGTGTCCCTCTATACCCACTGCCATCCTTTCTAATATGTTCTCTGCTCTTCAGGCAAAAGGACCAATTTAAAAATAAATAAATCAGGTCATGTCTTCCCTTTGCCTTCAAAGCCTCTAACAGCTTCTGTGTATTAAGATTTTTATTCCCTGCAGCTTCAAAACCAGGCTCTGATCGGTCCTGAGAATCCTTCTCTCTGCCCCTCCCTTTCCTTCCTTGATACAGACTCTGGCCTCATTCACCCAGTCCTCTATCTTCCCTCAAGGCTTTGGGAGGTGACACCGAGTCTTCCTGAAGGCTATCCTGTCCCATCTCCTGCAAATTGTTTCTCCTATAGACCAGAATCAAGCGTCTCCTTCACAGGTTTCTCCTGACTGTTTTTATCAGGGTCACACGCCTCTCCTGAGGCCCATGTGCTACCATGGACAGCTCCTGAGTGGCCCTGAGTAATTAGCATCTCTACATCAGGGTGACTGCTGGCTTACTCCCTGAGAGATCCTACACAAAACAAAGTGCCTGGAGCAGAGCTGGGGTTCAAGAAAAAGTGTATATGTACCTGTGCATATGAGATGGATGGATGGATGGACGGACGGATGGACGGATGGACGGACGGATGGACAGACGGACGGACAGACAGATGTGTGGATGGACATAAAGAGACAGGAAGAGACCGAAAGTCAGAGTTTTTTTTTTTTTTGGGAGGGTGTCTGTGTGTGTGTATGAGAGAGGGGGGAAGGAGGGAGGGAAGGAGAGAGAGAGAGAGATCTTATATAGCCCAGACCAGCCTCAAACTTGCCATGTGCCTTGAGCTCTTCATCTGCCTGCCCCTACTTCCCAAGTACTAGGATTACAGATACAAACCATCCAACCCAGCTTCAAGAACTATTTATTACAAGATGTGTTCTTGTGCAGAAGGACAGTCTGACCCTCTGTATTTGTGACTCAATCACCAAGGGGGTCTCATCATAACCTCATCTAAAACATAAGTGTAATAGATATAATTTCCACCATGCCCCATTTAATACCCAAATGATCTCAGGATACAACACAGCTCTGCCTGGAACGCTCCCTTCTTGCTTGGCATAAACACAGGCATCCTCCTGAGGGATGACAGGCATCCTCTTTGGTGCCATCTCCTTTTCTCCCCCACACCCCTTGATCTAACTTCATCATCCTTGTTGCTCCCAGCCCTCCTATCTGGCTTCTACCCCAGGGGCTCACACATGCCCCTCCCTCTGCTACAAGGCCCTCTTCTGGGGATGCTCACTCCTTGTCTTGCTTCATTTAGATCTTTGCCCAACAGTCCCTTTCTCTGGTAAGACTTCTTATTGCAAGCTCACATTATTATCAGCAGAATTCCCAAAAGCTTCTCGGAGAAGACTGAGTATCACCAACAGAATCCCCAATGCTACTCAATGCTCATTGTTTTCCTTATCGCTTATAACTTCATAACATATTCTCATGTACTTTTACTTTTTTTTTTTTTAAATAAGAGGGCTGAATAGGGAGTTCTATGGATTCTAGGAAGGTGCTCTGCCTTTTGGCATATCTCAGCCCAGCACTGGGGGATCCTAGACAAGAACTCAACCGCTAAGCTATAATTTCAGCATCTCCCCCCCCCTTTTTTTTTTTTTTTTTTTTTTTACTTTCCATTTTGAGACAGGGCCTCACTAAGTTGACCCAGCTATCTGAACTCACTCGATAGCTCAGGCTGTCCTCGAACTCATTCCACAGATGGCAAGCCAAGAACTTGTGATCAGACTAGCTGGGATAGCTGGCCTGCACTTCAAGGCCAGATGCCATGTCTTGCATCATGGGTGAGTTGTAAGAAGGAGGGACTGATTTGTCTTCTAGGTGACTAGACCCTTGCCTGGTACACAGAGACGTGCTAATTTTTTTTTTTTTTTTGAAACAGCACAGGAGGGAAACAGTCTTACTGCCTCCCTCCCCGTGTTCTTCCCTCCTTCCTCCCATCTGCACTCTCTAGGAAGTTGTCCTGACTCTTGGGCTGTGCTGGCTCCCTGGTGCCTGGAGCTATTTCCACCATCAAACGCATCCCTGTTCTGATGTCTCAGGCTGCCTCCTTCATTAGAGAGGAACCCTAGGGAATGGCCTGATTCTACACTCCCACCATGCTTCGGAAAATAGTGTTCAATGAGAAAGTGAATGAACACAGAGGACAGTGTCCTGACCACAGAGAGACAGCAAAGCTCAAGGTCCAATTCAAGGAGAAGCCTTCACTGTCCACTCACTCCAGTGTAAACGAATGCCTCCCGCAGGCCTTTGAGGTTCCCTGTGCTACCTGTAATTGAACTCAAATAACTATGATGGTGGCCCTGCCTCATGTAGTCCCTGATATTGTCCAACAAACATAAAGTAGGTGCTCAACTTATGTGTAAAGAAGTGAAGACAGGAAATCAGAGAGAGAGAGAGAGAGAGAGAGAGATTCAAAGATGTTTGAGTGATACTCACCTCATACAATTCCAAGGGGTAATTACAAGCCTGGAGGAGAAGAAGAGCTACTGTCAAGACCCCTTGAGAGGTAAATAATTGCCCTAGAGCAAAGGCCCACAAGGGCCCCTAATACCCCAAAGCCTTGGGGATGGAGAACAACAATTCCCATGAGACCCTATGGCCTAGACACCTAAGAATTGAGGAAAGAGCCCTGGAGTCTCTGGGAATTGTAGTCCCAGCACCAGTGGTATACCAGGGATAGAGGGCAAAGCCAGCTCTGAAGTTGGGGAGGCTGGGCTGGGCTCCCCTGGGGGGGGAGCCAGTCAGTCAGTCAGTCAGGGTACCTCAAACTTCTGGAGGAGGCTGCAGTTGTCAGCATCGGCCACCGGTACATTGTAATACTCGCCCTCCTCCTGGTTCAGTAACTTGTACCTGACATACAGACGGAGACCAGGGCCGGGCAGAGATAGAGGGAAGCAGGGCACCCATGGGAGAGGCAAAGACATCCAAAGGGGGGTAAGTGACACAGAAAGACAGACACAGAGATGGAGAGAGAGAAAGAGTGAGATATGGAGAGAGGAGGGAGGAAGAAGGGGAGAGAAGAGGAAGAGGAGGAGGAAGGAGAGGAGAAAGGGGAGGAGCTATGCTGGAAGATAAAGGGGGGGGGGGAGATGGTGGCCTAAAAGAGAGACCACGTATGGAGGGAGAAGGTGACACCCAGGTCCACCGCCAGCATAACCCTGTTTCTCACCATCCATCCACAGGGGCCTTGAGTAGCTCTGAGACACCAAAGGACATCGCACCCATGAAATCGTTTCGGGATGTTCTGTCCCAGTCCCACACCTCCACACTGAGGCGGCGCTCAACGTCCCCTGGCTTCAGGTTGCTGCGGGAAGGGTGGGAGAAGAGTGAGTAGCGGAAGTCGTGGCTCCCCGCTTCCTCATCCACCCCAGGCACTGGAGGTTTGCCCGCCCACCTCTGGCACTCAGAGAGTCTCCCGCACCGCACCGGGGCAAACGGGGCGGTCACAGGTTAAAAACATAGCCATCCCTCCCCCAAATCCTTGGTGCCTCCCATCAGTTCCCTGGTCCTTTTCTCTCTTTAGTCTGAGTTTCTGCGCTCCTCCTCTGGCTCTTTGTCCTCCCTCATGCCCTGGTTCCCCTCTCCGTCCTTATCCCCTGCCAACCTCCCCCTCCTCTGTTCCTCACTTACTCCCTCCCTCCCCCCAGTTCTTCTTCTTCTTCTTCTTTTTTTCTTTTTTTTTTTTTTTCTTTTCTTTCTTTTTTTTTTTTTTTTTTTTGCATTCTGTTTGGTTACTTTTTTTTTTTTAATTTTTTTAAAATTTATTTTATATAACCTCCCCCCAGTTCTTTATTTGGGGTTTGTTTGTTTGAAACAAAGAGTCTCCATGTAGTCCGGGCTAGCTTTGTACTTGCCTCAGCCCCCATGTTACTTCCACCACAGGGATGCACAACTATGCTCAGCCTCTTGTTGTTTTTTGTAGACCTAACTAATTGCTTCTCTCTGTCTGTCCCTGTGCCCTTCTCTTGCTGCACACCCCACTTCTGCTCCTCTTCTCTGGTCATCCCTCCCCCCTTTTTTCTGTTCTACTCATTGTGACCATCTGTCTGAGCACCTGTGCATCCATCATCCTTTCCTCTCATTCTCTGACTGCTTCCTTAACAATTTAAATATTTTGTATGTGTATGAGCATTTTGCTGGCATGCGCTATGCATCACGTGTGTGCCCAGTGCCTGTACAGGCCACAGGAGGACATCAGGTCCCTCGGAACTGGAATTACAGGAGGCTGTGCCTTATAGGCTGGTACTGAGATTCCAGGTCCTGGACAAGAGCAGTACCCATGCTTGACTACTGAGCCATCTCTCCAGCCCCTCTGCTTCTTGAGAGACCTGCCTTCCTCATTCTCTGTCTCTCCTCTGATCTCCTCACTGTGACATGTAGGGTTGGGGTTGGGGAATAAATACCCAGACACCTACCCCTCAGCTCCTGAATCCCCATCCCTCTTTCTCAACCATTCCATTCCTGTCTCCCATCTTCTGCTGTCTCTTATTAGAGATTGCCCCTATCCTAATACCCTGCCCCCAAGCACTCTGGGGTTGTGTGGGCTACTAGGACCCTCCGTTGCTTCTCTGTCAATCATCACGGCCCCAGAGCTCACAACACAAAGGTCTCGTTCCACACGGGATTCAGCGTAGCTTTTACAGTCCTCGTCTTCTGCTTCGTCAGGTTCCGAGGGTCTGGGATGAGCTTCAGCTTCACATAGGGATCAGACAGACCATTGGGATCCATAGGGATGAGGTTCCGGGCCTCACCAACTGAAGGCAGAAGGCAAGGAAGGATGACTTGGGTTAGAGGTCCAAGTAATAGCTCCCAGCCCTCCCGCAGCCAGCAATCAGGAATTCAGGATCCCAGCCAGAAAGATGGCTCAAATGATAAAGGTGGCTGCCATCAATCCTAATGATCTGATGTGGCTGGTTGTACATTCTCTGTAACACACAAGTGCATACATGCACATGTGCATCCAATAGACAACTGTTTTGTTGTTGTTTTGCTTTTGGAGACAGAGTTTCTCTGTGTAATGGCTCTGCCTGTCCTGGAACTCATTCTGTAGACCAGGCTGCCCTCAAACTCACAGAGTTCTGCTTGCCTTTGCATCCAGAGTGTTGGGATTAAAGGCATGAACTACCACCACCCAGCAGATACCGTTTTAAAGCAATAAAGAGGCTGGAGAGATAGATGGCTCAGTCATTAAGGATACTTGTTTTACTGAGCATCTAAGTTTGATTCCCAGCACCTACACAGTGGTTCACAGACATCTATATAGCCCCAATTCCAGGGCATCTCACATCTTATTTTGGCCTCTGTGGGCACCAGGTACACACGTGGTGCTCATGTATGCACTCTGGCAAAACACACACAGAAAATAAAAAACAATATTTAAAAAAAAGAATTTAAGGTCAATCTCTCCTCTGTGAGTTATCTTTCTACCACCTAAATCCAGTACCTAAGGCCTGATGCCTGGAACATGTGCCCAGAAATCAATGCATTTCTTCCACGAGGACTCGGGAGTCTGGAGTCGGACTCGGGAGTCTGGAGTCGGACTCTGCTGGGTAAGATCTTGCCTCTCATCCCACCCTCTCAATGGCCACTAATTGGAAATCTGGGACGGGGGTGGGGGATATGACTCAATGGTAGAGTGCTTGACTAGTAGTCTCAGTCCCCAGTACTAGCACACCACACACACACACACACACACACACACACACACACACACACACACACACCATGGTGTTGCATATCTGTAAACCCAGCATTTGGGAAGCAGAGTCATACAGGCCACAAGTTAGAGACCAGCCTCTACCACATATCTAGTTTGAGGGCAGCTTGGGCTATATGAGATCATAGCTGGAAAGGGATCGGATAGATGGAGACCTGTGAGGATGGGGTCAGGGATGTGGACGGTGGTCTACAGAGTGTGTGGCATCCTGGTTCCCAGCATAGAACACCCTGGATGAGTTCAGCCAGCCTCAGTTCCAGATTGGGGGCATGGCTAGCCAGGAGGCATGGCCTCACCAGTGATATGGATCTCGTCTGATGTGGGAGCCCGGATTTCCAGTTGCAGACGTCCACGGCGCTCTGTGTGGTCCACGCCGCACAGGGAGGGAACGCTGCGTACACAGCGTCGGTGCACGTTCATCTCGCAACCTGGTCGGACAAAAACAGAGATAGTATTTCAGGCCTAGGCGCTCACCATTCCTACCTTAAATCTCCCCTCAACCCCAGACAACGCATTTTGGTTGAAGAAGGAGCTCCCTCTAGTGCCCTATCTGGGCTGGAACAGCAGGCATCCTGCCTGGCACACTCACAGGAACATTTCATGCCCTGGTGCACCAGCCCGTAGAGGAGGGACCCACAATGGTCGCAGAAAGTAGGGCTGCTGTAGCTGTGCAGGCGGAACTTGTGCTTGTTGCGAGGATCCTGGGGAGCCGAGAAGAGTCATTAGTGACATAGAGTTGAGGGAGGGACATAACACTCTGAGAGGTGATTTTTAAAAATGATTTAATATTATTTTTGCGTATGCAAGCCTGCACGTGAGTGCAAATGAAGGTGGAGGCCGGAAGAGGGCGACAGATCCCCTGGAGCTGGATTTACAGGAAGTGTCACGGGTGTTGGGAATGAAGCTCAGATCTTCTGGCAGAGCAGCAAGTGTTCTAAAGTGCTTTGCCATCTCTCCAGCCTTGGGATTTTTGCGCTTATTTTTAGGCTATGACACAGGATTTCATTTAGCCCAGGCTGGCCTTAAGCAATATGTAGTAGAGGATGACTTGAGCTTTCCTGATTCTCCGGCCTCCAACTAAGATTGTAGGCGTGGACCACCAAGTTTGGCATAGAACTACCAACGGAGAGGTGTCCCCAGCCCGAGAGAAACCCTTTAAATTTTCTTCCTTCGGCCTCGGTGTCAGCTTTCTGCTCTATCTTGCTCCTTTCAGTCTCCACAAATTCACTAAGATCCTGCTGTGTGCCAAACCCAGCACTGGATAAATGCAATTAGAAATCGGTCACGTGGAGGAGCTGGAGTGGTAGCCCTATAAAAATGCCTGTCTGGTATTCGTGGAATCCTCTAATCCCCAACACCCCATAAACTGGGCGTGGTGGTGCCTGTAGGAGGGTCAGGAATTCAAGATCGTTATCCCCCTGGTTGCAGGGCAACTTCAAGACCCTGTCTCCAAAAACAGAACAACTAAAACCCTCAGTCACCTGATGTCTTTCTAGTGGAGGGTGTCGGAATAGTAAACACAGAAAATAAGTAATATGGTAAGACAAATGGCCATAGCCATAGCCAGAGGGGAATGACGCTGCGTAGGGATCATCCGAAGCCTGGTGGTGCGAGCCTGTCATCCCAGCTATTCTCAAAGCTGAGACAGGTGAAGCAGAAACTGAAGGTTAGCCTGAGCAACACAGAGAATTCAAAGCCAGCCTGGGTAACTTAGTGATACCCTGTCTAAAAACGTTAAAGGGGTTGAGAGTGTTGCCCCAGTACTAGAGCACCTGTCTGTTATACACGAGGGTCTGGGTTTGATCCCAGTACTTCAAAAAGAAGGGAGGGCTGGGAAGAAAGAGAAGGCAGGGGGGGAGGAGGAACAGGTGGAGGAGGGGAGAGAAGAGGAAGACGGGAAGAAGGGGAATGGAGAGGAGAAGCAGGGAGGAGACAAGGGGGAGAAGGAGAGAATGAGGAGCAGGAAAGAAGGAAGAAGGGGCTGAGAATAAGGAGGGAGAGAAAGCAATAGAGGAGGAGGAGGAGGAGGGATGGAGGAGCAGGAAGGATAAAAGGAAAAGGAAATGAAAGGAGTGGAGGAGGAAGGAAAAGAGGAAGACGATGAGGAGGAAACTGTCAAGTTGGAGTCTCAAAAAGGAATGCTCAAGGGAGGTTTTATTCACAAAGTGGTCAGAGCGTGAAGGTGAGGGCTCCCGGGATCCTTCCTGTGTCCACACCTCCCCCTGCTTGGTCTCCAAGGACCTGTGAGCCACCTTCAGCCCCGGGCTGCCTTCCTGCAGGCTGCCTTGGCTGGGGCCCCACGCCAGGCAAGAGTTAGTTACAGCAGGCACCAGAGGGCTTGACTAGATTACCGGGAGACCCACAGAAGAACTTATTATGTGGGACATGCCCACTGCTGCTAGTCTGACAGCAGTTATTGTGGTGTCGTGGTTATTAGGAGGGTTTTATTGCTGGCCCTGAAGAGTTCAAATAACAGCCAGGTCACTTCCCAGATGTGTGATTTTTTTTTTTTTTTTTTTTTTTTTTTGAGCAAATTCATCTCCCACTTTTGAGCCCCAGCATCCTCTTCTGTCAAATTGAAATAAATATTCTTTCTATGTCTTAAAGCAACAATAGATGCAGGAATTTAGGACATCAGCCAGTACCTTCCCCACCCACACTCCACCATGCAGGGTAATGTCTAGTTCTTAGAAAACTGTCTTGCTTTCCCCTCCTTCCTGCCTCCCTTCCTCTCTATCCCTCTCCCCCATTTTTCTTTTCTTCCTTTTTACAGGCTGGCTCGGAACTTATTGTGTAGCTCAGGATGGTTCTTGAAATCCTGATCCTCCTGTCTCTGCCACTGAAAATGCAGGCATCCATCACCAAAACCAGTTTACACAGTGCTAGGGACAGGACCCAGGCCTCCTAGGCAGGTACTCTGCCACCTGAGCTCCAGCCTCAGATTTCTCTTTTTCTGAGCAAGCATTGGAAGACTATGCTGAAGGGATGAAAATTAAGATATTCCTGGGCTTTCATTTATTTTAGTGAGATTTCCATCTTCACTCTTTTAGATTTATTATTGTATGTGAACAAGTATCTTACCTGTATGTATGTATGTATGTATGTGCACCATGTATGTGCCTGGTGTCCATAGAGATCAGAAGAGGGCATTTGACCCCCTGGAACTAGGTGGTTGTGAGCCACCACCTTAGAACTGAACCTGTGTCGTTACAAGAGCAACAAGTGCTCTTAACCCCTGAGCCTCCCCTCCAGCCCCCAGTGTTCTATTTTGAACTTGTGTGTGCATGTGTACGTGTGTGTGCTAGAACATGTGCATGTGCATGTATGTAGACACACATATGGAAGTCAGAGGACAATTTTTATGAATCCATTCTCTTCTTCTACTGTGTGGGTCCTATGGATGAAATTCAGGTTGCCAGCCTTGGCAGCAAATGCCTTTGCCAGCTGAGCCATCTCGATGATTCAATATTCTACTTACTATACATTTCAGATACTATCCCAAGCGTTTGACTCAACTGATACTGGGAAATGACCCCATATATAGGCCCAATTCTCACCTCACATTATATCCTGGGAACTTAAGATATACTATAAGAAATTAAGCCAGCTGTTTCCACACACACCTGGCATCTCAGCATTTGGGAGGCTGAGACCTCAGTAGAAAAGGGGGTTTGAGGGCAGCCTGAACTACACAGAGAGATTCTGTCTAAAAACAAAACAAACAAACAAACAAAAAAAAACATAGAAACATGTGGTGTGGTGGTGCATACTTTTAATCCCAGCATTCAGGTGGCAGAGACAGATGGATCTCTATGTAGCCAGCCTGGTCTACATAGCAAGTTCCTGGCCATCTAGGTAGGACTATATAGTGAGATGCTGTTTCAAAGAAAACAACAAAAACAAGGCATCCGAAAAAAAAAAACAAAACCAAACAAACAAAAGACTTTTGCTCTCTCCCCAAGGAACAGAAAAGACTTTAAGATATACTTAAAATTTTTAAGAAAGATAAACTGCAAGAGATAATTCCTCATTCATACAGGGATTGTCACTCAGGTCATGTGTTCTAGTTCAAGAGTCTCTGCTCAGATGAGAGCAGAAGAAAAAGAAACAACTAATCTAATCTTATGAGCAATTATACGGTTCCAAGCCTACAGTGGGTGTAAAATAGTTGATGAGTATGTATGTAATCAGGACCTCACCAAACACAGCTAGCGTTGGAGGCAAGCAGGTGCACAGGCAGGCAACAACATACCCTGGCTCTGGTACACAGTGGCGCTCAATACGTGCCCAGTGTAGTCACATCCTCTATGCAAATTTCTGTTTCCTTCACATGACAAGCAGGCAAGTGCCTCGTGAGTCTCTGTGGATCTTTCTTGTTGCATTTTCTTTGGGACAGTGTCTCAATTTTTAGCCCAGTCTGGTCTTGAACTCATGATCCTCCTGTCTCAGCCTCCCGATTGCTACCCTCCCTATCTACAAATCATATGACTACCTTTTGCCTTGTACCAAACTCTGGGAAGAAACGATCTTTGTTGACCTGCTAACATAAGATTGGAAATGTTTAGATGTATATACTACCCCATTCAGCAATGTAGCTGCTCAAATCTAAAACAATCTCAACACATCCATTTCACGATGCTGATGGCAACCATAGAAAGAAAACATCTCCATTACCGTAGGCAGTTTCGCTGCCCAGGACTGGGGAAGAATCAGGGGCTTGATGAGAAAGTGAAGGAGGAAAAACTAAATGGGTGGCCAGGGTTGACTGTGTTCATCAGCCCCTGCTGTGCAGAGGGACAGGGCCAGGAGGTTGTGGATCTCCATGTATTCATGTGTGAGTCTATGTGGTGTCTGTGCACTGTGGGGGTCTCTCTGAGCCTCTCTAAACATCTAAAGGTCTTTTCCTGTTTCATACACACACCCTTAACATGGGGCCAATGTAGCTCAGGCTTGCATGGAACTTGCTGTGTAGACAAAGTTGGCCTTCAACTCCAGATCCTTCTGCTTCCACCTTTTCTGAGCTAGGTTACCTGGCTTGTGCCCTGACATCTGGCTTTCAATTTCTCTTTTCCTGCATCTCTGTCCATCTTCCAAGGTTCTCTCTATTTTACTATTTCAGTATTGGCATTGATCTCTCTCTCTCTCTCTCTCTCTCTTGATAGCAAATTCATCCTTCCAGTGATGACGTTTGATCCCTCAACCCCTGCTTCCTCTCTGTCCCCTCACCTGTGTCCCCAGCCTCTTTCAGGCCCCTTCTCAGTCCCCCTTTTCAGGCCAAGGGCAAGGAATCTGGGCCAGACTAGCTCCCCCTATCTCTCCAGCCCCCCTCCCCTCCCAGCCTTAAAAATAGCAAGAGAAATTGGGACGGACGCCGAGGGGGTGAGGGCGGGGACATGGCCTGAGGAGGAAGAACCAGGTGTCTGGGCACTCACGTCCGTCTGGGGCCCCTTTCCAGCGCCTGGACACTCGAAGGTCACAAATTCGTGGCATCGTCGGTGAACCACAAAGCTGCAGACTGAAGATGAGAAGGCAAGAAACACAGAGGCAGGGAGAGACCCCCAATAGATGCGAATTCAGAGCCAGACATTCCAGCCCAGAGAAAACCACAAAAAGAGAAATTCCCACATACAGTGTCCAATGGAGAGAAAAATCAGAGGAGAGAACCAGACCACGAGCCACACGGAGACAGAGAGCAGGACCCAGAACCCCAAGAGGTAAACTTGAAGGAAGACAAAAAGAGACAGAGAAACACAGTGACACAACAACCCCCCCAATGTGCACACGTTGCAAACGCACAGAGAGAGAGAGAGAGAGAGAGAGAGAGAGAGAGAGAGAGAGAGAAAAGCAAGGAGAGAGAGAGGGTGTTTGAAGAGAAACAACAGAAATATCCTTAGACGTAGCAGAGAGCAGCAACTTGAACAGAAGTGAGTCTGGGGGGTGCTGCCTCGGCCCGCCCCCCACCTTGAGTCACTCTGTTCTCAGCCAAGTGGCAGCTGGTGTTTTAGGACTCGCCCCCCTCGCCCGGCCCCCACCCGCCCATTAGTGACCCCACCCGGCCTGCCCCTGCTTTAGGATGGATGGTGTTGCCATAGCAACGACAGTCTGGGGAGGGGGAGCTCTGACTTTGCATCTCAGAGCCCCTTCCCCCCTTCAGCTCCCCTTTTCCAAATCTCCCTGTTCCCATGGAAACAGATTCTCCAAATATCTGTCCCCACCTGGAGCCGGCCGAGGGAGGGGCCCCCAGCACCACCTCCGCGGTGGCCCTGCCATCAGAGTTTCCTCCCCACCACAGGCTGTGTCTCTGCCACACCCCCCGCCCAGGGCTCCCCCGCGCCTCTCTGGGGACCACAGAACACGTGTGTCAGCCGCCTCAGCTGTGAGGTCCCAGCCTCCACCCTCGGGGGTCCCAAGAGTCCAGGTCCCAGCTCTTACCTTGACATTGCAGGCCCTGCTTTCCAATGCCCCTGGAAGAATCAAGGATCTAAGGTCAGTGCAAAAGGGGTGCCAGGGCCCTCCCACCCTTTGCAAGACATAGGTTTGCGGCTTCCCATCCTCACCCAGGTGTGCGAGTGAGGCTCAGTCTCCTTCTACTAGAACCCAGAAATTCTAGTCCCAGCTCTTTTTTCCTTGGACCCTGGAATCCAGCTCCCAGCCCCTCTTCCCTCAGACCCAGGAACCCAGACTTCACCCACACATCCTTCAGCCCAGGAGTGGGGGCTGCAGCCCCTCTTACTCAATCGCTTGGGGCCGGTGTGACATGACTGACCCTCAAGTCCCCTCTTCTTCCAGCCCGCTCCCCCAGCCCGCTTCCCTCACCAGATGAAGTCGGTACAGTGACTGCAGAAGGTTGGCTGCTTGAAGAAACGAGCGGTGAACTTGTGGCTCTTCACCTCGTGGACCACCTTCTGCCTCAGCGCCCCCTTTCTGCAAAACAGGGGTCGGGGTCCCCCCTCTGAGTCGCCTCCGCCGGGGCCCAGACCTGCCATGGCCCCAGGAACGCAGCAGGGACCACGATCTGGCCCTTTTTCTGAGGAAACAGGTGGACGGGAATGGGGGGACTCCGCAGATTCAGAGATGGGAAGGACAGGGGCGAGGCACCTAACGGTGCGCAGCGCAGGGCAGGAGGCAGCACCCGGGCACCGGCTCCACCGAGGGGTTTGCAGGCGGGTGGGGTCAGAGCAGAAGGCAGGGGCACCGAGGAGCCGCAGACACGAGAGACCGTGGCGGCGGCGGCGGGAGCTCCGGCTCCGGCACCTGCTGAAATGTAGAAGCTGGGGGTGGGGGGTGGGGGGGGGAGAGGCGTTGCCATGACGACCAAGTGGGCGGGGTTTCGGCTTAAAGGAGCCCCCCTCCCCGCCCCGAGAACCCAGGACAAGATGCCCCTCCCTCCCCTCCACGTGCGCACACCCATTCCGCAGGCTGTATGCAGGGAGGGGACGTCCTCTGAACCTTGACCATCCCCTTCCCCTAAATACGTTCCAGTCTGACATCCTGGTCCCCCACACCCCCACCTGCCTCCCCACTCAGTTGCATGGGTGGGTCACGTCAGGCTCTTGAATCTGGGATAGATCTCTCTCTGTGTGTGTCTGGACATATTACTCCTTTAATCAAGAAACTTTTGTTCAGTGCCGAGGACTTCCGGATGAACAGAGAAGCTAGCGTCTCACTGTCCGCGATGCTCCTGGCTGGGTGTCTGATCTCTGGATTTACCGCTATACCTCGCTCTGGGTGTGTCTCTCCTCTTTCTCCTGCTTCGGGTCTCTCTTTCCTCCTCTCATCTGTTTTCTCTCTCCATTCCCCGCTTCTATGGCTCCCTCTCCTTTTCTTGCTCACATCTGTCCTCTGGTGCCTGGAAATGTTTTCGTCTCCATCGCCCTGCCTTTCCCGGTCTTTCCTCTGCTAATCTGTGTTTCCTGTTTCACCTCTGCTAGTTAAGTTCAGCGTTTCCCGATGTCCGTCGCTCTCTGCTTTTGTATTTCTCCCCTTCTGTCGCTAGGGGATGCCTATCCCTCCTTCCCTGTGCCTCTTCTGTCCCTTTCTCTGACCCACTCAGGGTTTTTCCTTTTGGCCCTCTGATCCCTCTTTGTCGTTGAGGGTCCCTCCCCACTCCTTGTGTCCCTGTCCCTAGTGGTCTCCGCCGCCACCTCCGCATTTCCCTATGACTGTCTCTGGGCATCTCGACTCTCCTCGGTGTCTCCCCCTCTCTGGGGTTTCTCCTCCCCTGTCTCCCTGTGACTCTATCTCAGAGGGTTCTCCCCCGACTGAGTACGTCTCCCGAGGTTTCTCCCCAATCTGTGTTTCCCTGTAACTCTCCATCTCTGAGGGCCTGTCCCCTCGGTGCCTGGTTGTGTGGGGTGGGGGGGGCTTCTTGGCTCTGGATCTCCTCGTGACTCTGTCTCGTGGGGGGGGGATCTCTCGCGTCTCCCTGTGACTCATCTCGGGGAGGGGGGCTTGGGAGGGGGGCTTCTCCGGACTCCATGTGTTCCTGGGATTTCCCATGCACACCCCCCTCCCAAGCTTACGCCCCTTGGTTCCTCCCCCACGTCACGCCCCACTGTGCGCCTTTCTGGCTGCTCTGGCACTCCAGTGGGTCCACTCTGGCAGGAAGCCATGGGCAACCCCGGCCCGCCAGAGGCTGTCGAGCTCAGAGCACTCTGGGACTTATAGTTGAGGCCCCCGTACAGGCTATTCTTGGGAAGCTACAGAGAACTACTTCTCCCAGCGTGCCCTGTGCGTCCGACTGGCCGCGGCGGTGGCGCTGAGTCTATATAGCACCACGCCTTCTTTGCGGTTTTGCTTAGCTCAGGGTTGGGTCGGGAATCCTGAAGGTGCAGGGGAGGTGGAGGAATTCAGGTCAACCACCAAGAATCCTTCGCTGAACGCAGAGTTCCCTGCCACCCCGCAAGCCACCTCTAGGTGCCCATGGTTCTCTCCGGCTGCGGGTGGAAGCTTCTTCCTCTGCGACTTTCCCAGTTAATATACAGCATATGACTGGAAGCTACAGCTGTGTTTAGTTATTTTTTCTTTGGGGGGGGGGCGGAAGGGGGCACTCCAGACGCGATTTCTCTATGTAACAGCCTGGTTATCCTGGGACAGGCTGGACTCTAACAGAGATCTGCCTGCTTCTGTCTCCAGATGCTGGAATTAAAAGTGTGGGCCACCGCCCGGTTTGTGTTTTGTTTTTTAAAATAGGCGCTTGTACACCTTTATCCCAGACAGGCTGGGGGATCTCGGTGAGAGTGATGTCAGCCCGATCTACATAGCAAATTCCAGACCAGCCAGGGCTACACAATGAGACTCTTGTCTGACAAACAAACAAACAAGTGAATAAATGGGCCCCGTGTATTTCTGGCTGGTTTTAAATCTGCTAAGTAGTGGAGGATTTCTTTGAACATCTGAGCTTACTGCCTTCACCTTCCCAAGAGCGGAGTTTTCAGGCAGGCTTCACCACAGCCTGGGCGCTCAGGTACTGATTAAACCGAGGACATTGTACCAACTGGTCCACACCCACAACACTCTAGCTGTTGTGGTATTCTGAACCGGATGGGGGAAGGAGTGGGTGTGGTGGTCCCCTGAGAAGAGGGATTCGTGCAGATAGGTCTTGGTGAACATTGAAAAAAAAAGTAAGACTTTTCTCGCGCCCTGAGTGCATGTCCTAACTGGCCCTTTTCCCGTGTACTTCCTGTTAGGTCTCAAACCTGGCACAAAAGGCTAACTGACGACGTGCCTATTTATCCTATCAAAAGCAGGCCTGGCCTCCGCCGCCGGGTTCTCCTGGTACTCTTCAGTCCCTACTTGTTACAGACTATGAGGGGCATACCCCCACCCCTACCCTAAACTTCTCCAGCCCAGAGACTGAATTGAGTTTTCCCCAGTTGTCTTTCCCGATATAATCCAGCTATTTTGGTTGCCTGGCCCTTTTACTTCCTGGCAGCTTGGTCTCCTGGCTCTCCCCACCCCCACAGGCTCAGGGTCGTGTTCACTCTGGGCTCCCCCAGATGTCTGGCTATTCTCTCCCTTTTACCTACAGTAAACCATGTTCTCCACCATACCTAGGAGCAGTCATGCCCTTCCTTTTTTATTTCCTTTTTTTGATTCACTTCCAAGCTTTGCAATGTTTTCCAAGTCGCTTTTGTATGGTACAGCTGCAAAAAACAAAACAAAACCAGTATGATCCTGGAATTTCGTTTAAATGATTTATTTAGTGTTATGTGCATTGGTGTTTGTTGTGAGCTGCCATGTGGGTGTTGGGACTTGAACCCAGGTCCTCTGGAAGAGAGGCCAGTGCTCTTAACCACTGAGCCATCTCTCTAGCCCGATTCTGGAATTCCTGTATGTGTGTTTTATGTATGTGATACCTTAATTCAGGTGGATTTCAGCAGGGAGGGGCAGGATCAGTCTTGGATGAGGTGGATCCCTCTGGAGCAAGGGTAAGTTGGATGGAGGAAAGTCATGGAGGCAGCTATGAATGGTACATAGAACAGTGTTCCACAAACTCTCAAGAGACTGCTGGGAAACATCGGGAAATGAGTGCATTTTTTGAGAAAGCTGTTGCACTCAAATTGGAATACATAATTTGTCTTTTTGAGGCAGTTTCCTGGTGTAGCTATGGCTATCCTGGAACTAGCTCTGAAGACCAGGCTGGCTTTGAACTCAGGTCTGCCAACCTCTGCTTCTTGAGTGCTAGCCTTAAAGGCAAGCACAACCATGCACAGCTTGAACTTTGTATTTTATTTATTTACTTATTTAACTTTTATGTGCATTGGTGTGAAGGTGTCAGATCTCCTGGAGTTGCAGACAGTTGCAAGTTTCCATGTGGGTGCTGGGAATTGAACCCAAGTCCTCTGGAAGAACAGCTGGTGCTCTTAATAGCTGAGCCATCATCTCTCCAGTCTGAACGTTGTGTTTTTCAAGGCTTATATTTGTGTATGGTTGTAGAGGCCAGAGATTGTCAGTAGCTTTAACCTCTGAGCTAGTTCCCATGAAATCATGTTCATGGCTTTCCCAGTCCATCTTCCTGGTTTCTTCCCTTTTAAAAAAAAGATTATAAAATGTATATCCTAATGGATTTTGGGAGCCCATTCCACACAGAGGGATACTCTCAGCCTAGACACATGAGGGAGGGCCTAGGCCATGCTCCAAATGACTTTGAAGATCCCCCAGAGAAGGCCTCACCCTCCCTGGGGAGCAGAAAGGGGATGCGATGGGTGTTGGGAGTGAGGAGACAGGGGAGGATGGGAGGGTGCAAGAACTGGGATTGACATGTAAAACAAGACTGTTGCAAACTTAAATTTTTTTCTTTTTTTTTTTTTTTGGACAGGGTTTCTCTATAACTTTGGAGTCTGTCCTGGAACTTGCTCTGTAGACCAGGCTGGCCTCTAACTCAGAGATCAGCCTGCCTCTGCCTTCCGAGTGCTGGGATTAAAGGCATTCGCAACTGATGCCTGGCTGCAAATTTAAATTTTAAAAAATGTATATCTGTAGGCATAGAGACCAGAAAAGCTCATTGGGTCACTTCTACTCTGAGGCACGAAGCCAGCAAGCCCCCCACCTCACAGGCAGGAGTGTTGTATGCATCTGAGGGGATGCTCAGCCTGGACCCTGGGTGCTAGGATTCAAAGCCAGATGCTGAAGCATGTGCTTTTTAAACCAACTTCTGAGCTCTCTCTTGATTTTAAAAAACTAACTTGGAAGTCGGGCATTGGTGGCAAACGCCTTTGATCCCAGCATTCAGGAGGCAGAGGCAGGAAAATCTCTGAGTTCAAGGCCCGCCTAGTGTATAGAGTTCCAGAACAGACTCCAAAACAATACAAAGAAACCCTGTTTTGAAAAACAAAACTAAACCTAACTTGGAAATCTAACAGGGCATGGTACATAGCTCAGTTGGTAAAGTGCTAGCCTCGCATGTGCTGAGCTCCGGGTTCAGTCCTCAGGGCTGCATAAATGGGGTGTGGTGGCTCATACCAGTAATCCCAACATTGGAGATGGAGGCAGGCCTTGAGTTCAGTATAGGCTACATGACACTGTCTTAAAAGGAAACACCAAAACCAAAACTCCAGATGCTGTCACTGTTTTCTGATAAGGCCAAGGCTCTTAGGCTCAGCCAACAAACTGAAGATTCTGGGTTTCAAACCTCTCTTGGAGCCCTTTCCTCCCACCTACCCACACCACCCCACACACACCCGTGATAAATAAATCATGAGTCTTCCTGTTATCTTTTATATTGAGAGTTTTAAAAAAGAACATTATGGATGTGGAGGGGGGTGGGAAGGGATGACTGACAGTAGGAGCTAGAGGAGCCTAAAGCTCCAGAAAACTAAAAAAAATAATAATAAAATATATATTTATACATTTATATAATATATATATATATATATACCAAGTAATGCATGTGAGTTCCAGAGAAGCAAGAAGCAGCAGCACGAAGCAACTAACACGCAGACCTGGATGTGTGCGGGAGCAGCACACTCCAAGCCACTCCAACCTTGAAGGAGTCCCTCCCCCGAAGTTAAACTTCCCTCCTGAATGAAGCTACACAGCTGGTGTGTGATAGCACACCTGCAAAACCTCAGCACCTGAGAGTTGGAGAACGAAGAGCAAGGGTTCAAGGTCAGCACCGGCTAACGGTTAGGTTAGCTTGGGCTATATGAGACTATTTCAAAAGCTTTGAAAACAAACAAACAAAAAAAAAAAAACCAAACAACTTCTTATTCCTTTTGTTTTTGCATTCATGTTCAGGAGAAAATAAAAGAGGCTAATAATGCCTTTAAGGTCAGCAGTGGCCACTTTTTCTTGTCCATACTAAAGCAGGCCAGGTTATTTTTAACACTAAGATAGCAGGGCCACCATTACTGTCCCTCAGAAATACTTCACCACACTTGTCTTTAAGACCATGTGGGTCTTTTTATGTTTTTGTTTGTTTTGTTTTGGAGAACACAAGAGAATTTAGCAAAAACCATCATTCATCCTTTCCTTCATCTAGGATAGCATCTAGGGAGCCTGCTTTAAAAAAAAAAAAAAAAAAAAAAACAAATTCTAGAGCCAATTTTAGGCAAAGCTGAGTGATAGAGACAGAAACTCTCTGCTGGCTACCGGGAATTATTGACAGCCTTACTCCCCAACCCCTTCAACACACACACACATACTAAGGCACAGCTAAGGCAGGCAGGCAGGCAGGCAGGCAAGCAGGCATGCTTTGGCAATGAGGCCCCTAAAGAGGCCCCTGGGGTAAAGAATTGCAAAGGATTGTAGGATGTGTGGGGCCAGCACCTTTGAAGGGTGAGGGAGAAGATGCAAGAATACCAAGGGCTCCCAGGCAAACAGGCAGGTGACAAACCAATACAGAGAATAAGAGAACATGAAAGAGGCAAAGCAGAGAGCTGTCGGAGACAGCTCAGGGGCAAAAGAGGACAGGGGCAGGGGAAGAGGAAAGGGAAGGAAAAGAAACAAGGAAAGAGAACAATGAGTCAGGAAGAATAAAGAGGAAAGGGAAATGGGGCGGGGAGGGAGGGAGGGATGGAGGAGGAAACAGGACAGTACCAAAAAAATTTGGGTAATAAGATGAAGCGGCTGCGAGAAGGGATGGGGGGCGGGGAAGGGAGCCCCCGTTAGCCTTAGACCTTGACAAACACCAGGCGGGTGGAGTACACCAGGTCAGACACATATGCCAGCAGGTTAATACCTGTCAGGATGGCCACCGCCAGTCGGCGGTCCCAGAAACACACCGAATGGGGGTGTGTGTAAGCGCAGCTTGCATCTGACCCACGGCGGGGGTAGCCATGATACCTCTGGTCGAATTGGTAGAGGGGCCAGAGGACAATGGCAGTGGCGTACAAGAGGACAGAGAGTAAGGCCAGGCCTGACAGGAAGGTAGGGAAAGGGATGGGTAACATGTTGGTGCAGTCTCCCAGGTTGAGCAGGATGGTCACCGCAGCTAGTATGAAGCAGATGGCGTAGACTGCCACACACCACTCCAGGGCCGGCTTTTGCTGGTACAGGAATGGTTCGCTGATGAAGGCAAAGATGATACAGGCTACAAAGGTCTCAAAAACTTTGAGCAGCCCCGGCACGGTAGCCATGTAGCCGGTGATCTCACCAGGCCTTGCGCGAGTCCAGGCCACTTCGGTGGCATAGGCCAAACAGGCGACACAGGAGAAAGTGGTGGCAGCGATGGCGTGGTCCCGGGTACGTCCGTGAGCCATGAACTGCACGTAGGTGGTAGGATAGATGATGGAAGACGACAGGCAGAAGAGAGCCGCGTAGCACGCGTACGTGATGGGGAAATTGCGCCATGACAGGGGGAAACGGGCCTGGAGGCCACCTAATTCCACAATCAGGATGACGAGGGTCACGGCAAAGCAGAAACACCAGGTGAACATGGCCCAGTTACCCATGGGCCCAGTCCAAGCAGCCACACTGGCCACCAACGAGAAAGCCACACAGGTGGATATTAGCTGCAGGAGCCGAAGGAGGCCCAGGGGCTGGGTCAGTGCCCGAGGGGACCCCACAACGGTAGAGGAGGACGTTGTAGTAGTCGTGATGGTTGTGCGGGTTACTGATACCGGCATGGCTGAGAAAAGCAAAAGCATTTGCGTAAGGTCTCATACTGAGGAATCCAGATATCCAGCCTCTCCCCTGTCTTATCTAAAACTCTGAAAACCCCGTGTCTCAGAATATGGAACTTGTTAGCTGGATGGTGGTGGTGGCGGCACACGCCTTTACACACCAGCACTGAGGAGGCAGAAGCACACGGATCTTTGTGCGTTTGAGGCCAGCCTGGTCTATGGAGCGAGTTCCAGGACAGGCTCCAAAGCTACAGAGACCTTGTCTCCAAGAAAGAGAGAGAGAAAGGGAGGAAGAGAAATACAAAAGGACCCAGCAATGAACAAAAAGATTATGGTCTAAGATCCTGCCTGCTATATCACTTCCTGTGTGACCTAGGGCTTTATACCCCAGGCCCTATGAACAAAAGTTCCCCCTTTCACTCCACAGAAACTCAGTCATCTCTAGTTTCTCCATAGCCAAGACGCCAACTTCCTCATACTCTAGGCCTTGTGGGTAGATTTTTTTTCTTTTCTTTTTTCCTTTTTTTAGTGTAACACAGAGTTTCTCTGTGTAACAGTCCTGGCTGTCCTCCTGGAACTCACTTTGTAGAATAGGCTGGCCTAGAACTCAGAGATCCGCCTGCCTCTGCCTCCTGTGTTGGGAATTAAAGGAGTGAGCCACCATGCCTAGCAAAAAGGTTTCTTTTATGTAAGAGCAACCTAGACATTAGCAGCCCCTACACAGCCAACATTCCAATAATTTCCATTCCAGCTCCCACATATAAGCAGAGAGCTGGACCTCCATCCTTCAACTAACTGACTACCCTCCCAGAGATCTCTGATACAGAACATCAAGCTTTATTCCTCCCCTTCCTGCCCCTAAATCCTACTTCAGATGTGTGGAAGAAAAATGAGAGAGAAAGAGAGAGAGAGAGAGAGAGAGCCTAGTTCCTTCTTTCCTATCACTGAGCCTATCGCTTCCTACAGGGACTCAGCCAACAGGTTCCTCAAGTTCAGGAAAATTTAACTCCCTCCACTCCCACTGTTCAGTGGCCCAGCTCCAGCCACTGAAATGTCTAGTTTTCCAGGCCAGTCATGCAGGGTTGGACCTCAGGGCAGGCCTCTCAAACTCCCAATGTCCCCTGTGACCCAGACATAGGATGGGGGTAGGTAGAAAGGACTACCATCTTTTTTTTTTTTTTTTTTTTTTTTCCACTGACAAACCACAGCTTCTTCCAGGATGCAAGCTGTATGACCTCTCAGCTGAAGTGCCCCAAAACATGGGGAGGGGGTTCCCAGACCCAGGGAAATAAAACTTCCTTATTGCTAGGATCAGTTCTGCAGTTATTTCCTGATTGCTGGAGGGAGGAGAGAGGCTGAAATGACTCAAAAGCTGCAGAGACCTGGGCCTATTAGATGGTTCCGTTGGTAAAGGAACTTGCAACAGAGCATGACAAACCTGAGTTCGATCCCGGAGACCCACATGGTGGATGGACCTGAATTCTGCAAATCCTCTGACCTTTATACACTTGCCACAGGGTGCCCACTCACACACACACACAGACACACAAGATAATTTTTCCCAGACAGGATTTCTCTGTATTGCTTTGGAGCCTGTCCTGGAACTAACTCTGTAAACCAGGCTGGCCTCGAATTCACAAGAGGTCTGCCTGGGACTAAAAGCCAATGCCCAGCCAAGATAATGAGGAAAGATCATAGGAACTTCCAAAGCTTAGGAAACATACTCAGAAAGTACAAGGTTACGGTGTGAGGCCCCTCAACAAAGGGGCCTCACTACAAGAATATGTGAACACTGACCAATTAAGAGAATGGGGTGGGGTGTGTGGGTGTGTGTGTGGATATTTCATGTAGCCAGGGGTGAGGGTAGGGTGTGGGGAGGTGAATATTTCGTTTTGGGGGGGGTGCATGCCTTTAACCCTAGTACTCAGAGGCAGAGACAGGTGGAGTTCAAGGCCAGCCTTGTCAATAGAGTTCCAGATGGGCAGAGCTACACAGAGAAACCCTGGAAAAACCAAGGAGGGGGGGACAGAAGGCTCTTCTGCCCACAAGTTGAGGAGTGTGCTCTTTCATGCATCAACACCACCCACGCTGAGATGGGTTTTTTAGTGATGCCCCTGCTCCTGCAAGTAACCCAATTAACTAACTCACTGGCTCAACAAGCTGCACTTCGGTTACTGGTTTATTTTAGTTTATTTTTTTCCTCCGACAGGGTCTCTCTGTGTAGCCCTGGTTGTCCCGGAACTCACTGTAGACCAGGTTGCCCTCAGACTCACAAAGATCCACCTGCCTCTGCATCCCGAGTGCTGGGGCGCCACCACCGCGGGGCGGTATGTCTGATAAATTATAATTTATGTTCTAAGATGAGCGTAAGGTATTCATAATTCTCCCCAGGAAAAGCAGTGCTAAGGTCAGACCCATGGAAAGACAAAAGGTCAGGGTTTAACCTCTGGAAGCTCACACTGTGTCCCAGAACAACTCCCAAAGTACACAGGAGCCAGCTCCCGGATACAACTTCTTGGGTACATGGATAATTGACTCTACCTTCTGGGACCCTACCAGGCCCTTCCTCTAGGCACCTAGGAATCTAGGCACCATCCGCCTCCTTCCTCATACCCAGAGATCCAGGCCCCCTCCTCCTGTAGATCTAATTCAGTATTCCTGGCCAACCTCCCTTAGTCTGACACAACAATCAACAGCCCTCCTATCCTAGACTCGGAAGTTCAGGTTCCAGGCCCTCGGTTCTTAGACTACAGGGTCCTCCGTCAGACTCAGAACAGGACCCTAGACCCTCCTCTCATAGACTCCGGGTCCAAAACCCCAGCCCTCTTCCCTTAAACTTAGAGCTTCCTCTACCCCAGCTGCAATTAACTGCAGCCGCTCCACCCCCAAGAACTCGGAAATGCGGCCACTAGCACACTCACCTGCTGTCTTCACTGAACCCAGGAACTAGGAAGATCCCGCTGCGAAGGCGGAGACGGTTGCGCACCTGGAAAAGGCGGATCAGAAGCCCTGAGGACGAGAAAGGCAGTCAGGGCGGAACTCAGACTGCCTAGCAGCACCCTGACCCGGAGCCCCAGACGCTACAGCAGGGACACATCTCCCAGTGGGGACGCATACTTGGCTGCGAGCCCTGGGGCGAGGGCTCAGAGGTTATTCCGAGGAAGCACCGCCCCCTCTCCTTCCTCCCCCAGGACTTGCGGCGTGGGCGGTGTGGAAGCAAATGTGGACAAAGGGCCGGCCCCCTGGCCCGCTAGGGGTGTGAGTGATGTTAACCTAGCCCCAGCCTTGCAGTCGGCGGAGGGAGATCCCAGGGCGGTGGTTGTCAGGGCGGGAGGCCCAGCCCGGCCTGGCGTCTCCGCTCCTTATAAGGGCTGCAAATCGCCCCAGCCCGGGCAGTGAGACAGGGACAAGGAGGTGGTACCAAGACCCCCTGAGGCCCACTCGGAGGCTGTCTGCCCCTCTCCAAGACACCCTTGCTGGAGACTGGGTGTACTTGTGGGTGGGTGGATGAGATCCTGGGTTCTAGAAGGAGACGGGAGGGTCCAATTTGTGGTTCCTTGAAAAGTGTAAGCTGGGAGCCAAGCAGAACCGACTCCCACGAGTTGTCCTCTGACCTCCACACGTGCCCTGTGGTAGATGCTTCCCTCCACCCCCAGCAAAGTAAATATATTTTACAAATCTACTTTCAGCGGGGCGTTGGGAACACATGCCTTTAATCCCGGCACTCAGGGACGCAGAGGCAGACAAATCTGAGTTCAAGGCCATGCTGGTCTACAAAGTGTTCCAGGACAGCCAGAGATACACAAGAGAAAACCTGTCTCAAAAAACAAAACAAAAAACCCTCTTTTCAGCCAACTCTTGCTAAGCAGCCCTCATTGACCTGGAGCTTGCTATGTAAACCGTACTGGTCTTGAACTCAGAGATCCTCATGCCTCTGTCTCCCAAGTGCTGAGATTTTATTTCTTTATTTTAGAGTTCTGAGTCCCTCCAAGAATGGAATGGAGTCTAGCCTGGTATAGTCTGGTATAGTTATGGCTGTATTCCCAGAACCTGATAGAGGCAGGATTGGAAATCCAGAGCTTCCAGTAGTCTTAGACTTCCAGACAATCCAAATCTCAAGGGGGGAAAAATGTAGGATAAGCATGGGCAATACAGGGTGGGGAACAAACTCTGAGTAAGACCAGGCAGGAGCTCCTTTTTAAAAACTCTTCAAAATCGCCCTCGAGGACATATTGCTTCCTTGGCTCCAGGCTAGAAAACTCATGCTAAACTGGAATTAGGTACACACAGTATAAACGTAGGTTCCCCAGGTCAGAACTTGGGCCTCCAGTGGTCTTAGTAGATAGCACAAGAAGTCAGAAACTTCAGTTCCCACTGGGGCCGGTTTATGGGAAGCCGGGACTGGTCCCATACCTAGCACAACAGAAAATGGGAGTCTGGTCCGTCTTTAATCCTAACACCCAGGAGGCAGAGGCAAGCGGATCTCTGCCAGTTCAGAGCCAGCAAGATGTCCACAGCAATTTCCAGGACAACCAAATCTATACATGGAGAGACCCTGCCTTAAAAGGAAAAAAAAAAAAAAGTAGGCTACTGTCCCACTATAAACGCTAGGAGTAGGAGGAGGGGAGAGCATAAGCCCTTTGATCTGGAGGAAAGTTGTTTGGGAAAGGGAAAAGAGAAAGGGAGACCCTAAGAGAAATTGAGCGTCTGGAGGGCTTCCAGCATCTTTTGAAGTCACAGCTCAGGAATGCTCAGCCAAAGACCTAAGCAGGGCAAGGAAACGCCCCTTGAGCTTCCTCCTAGATCTAGTTCCACTCTCCGGGCCACACCCTGCACCCCTGCTACCATCCCCCTAGCTATGCTCCTGAGGTCATCTATCACTCCGTGGACTCGGGCACAGCCCTGCTCAGACTCCCGGCCACGCCCCACACCAGCGGGGGGATGCAGCCTTAATTTCACAGCTCCCTCTACACTCCAACTGCCCGTATTTAGGGCCCTGTGTAAGGAAATTCAGACCAAGGACTTCTCCCCTCCTGAGCATCGCTGGGCACCAGATGCAAGCCTCGCATCCAAGTGTCCCATCTCCCCTCAGAATCAGGGATCTCCATTCCTCCAAGTGCTCAAGCCCAAGAGTCCAGATCCTAGCCGCACCCGCCTCCTTCAGTAAGTTCAGAGCCCAGTTCCCCCTCCCTCAGAACAATTTCAGACCCCCTCCCTTCTCCAGATTAAACCCAAAAATCCAGCCCTCGTCCCCCAAGATCCCTCTAAGTCCTACTCCTAGGCCTGTTCGGTCAGACCTAGGAGTTCAACCCTCAACCGTCCTTCCTCAGACCCAGGTACCCACTCTCCAATCCCTTCTCTTTACCAAGTAAAACCTGTTACAAGCTCAAAGAGTTCTGGCCCAAATGGAGTGTTTCTAGGGACCCAGACATCTGAATCCCTGCACTCTTCTCTTTCTAGACCCAAGAATCTTGGGCACCACTCCTCCCCTTGGGGTCCCTACAATCTCACCTCTCCAGCCAGTGGCGTCTGCAGCAGCAAAAAGAGCGACAGCTGCAGACCAGAAGGGTCTTGGGGCTGGGTGGAGTTGGCCATTTGAGCAGCATGCGAGGGCAGGGCTGAGGGCGGGGTTTGGGCCTGGCTTGGGCGGTGAAAAGGTATTTTCCCTCCGTTTGGGCTATCCCTGGTCGGCCCCCAAGGCGGGACTAATGTCACACCACGCCCCTCTAAAAAGCTAGCGTGTCGTGGATCTCTAGCCCAACCAGTGAGGGGGTGCAGGGCTGAGGTCACCGTTGCCGTGGAGACAAAACAGGAAGACACAGCAGCTGGCGGCGCGGGGGCTCCCAGGGGCTATCCTCCCTGACATAGCTCTAGAAAGAAATCTCCAGGGTAGGCCCGAGAATGCCGTTGCCGTAGAAACCTACATGTTTACGGTTTGTTTTACATGGAATCCCGTTTCCCCCGCGCCAGCTCGGGTCCCCACGCCTAGTCTTACCCCTCATTCAATTCTCCCTCTCCATGCTCCTGTCCTTGTCTGTTTGATCCCCAACACTGACCGGATTTTTAAAAAATAAATAAATAAATCTTACACACCCAGGTCGCTGAGTATTGCAGGCCAGACCTCTCAGTTTAACGGAGTTTGTGGGCTAGGGTCTTGTTTACCTGAAAAAGAAAGGAATTTAGGGTGCCAAGCCTTGAGCTTTTAGGAATTCTGAGCAAGCAACCTTCAGTAGCGAGGCCCCACCCCAAAGGACAAAACTAGATTACTGTGTTGGCTGGGGGGGGGGGGTCTTCCTAGAGGGAATTGCGCTGTATCTCCAGTTACTCTGTAATTGCGGCGTGAGGACTGCTGGGCCACATCTCAGAAGATCACAGTCAACAGGGGCTAAAGGATGATGGATAGAAGCTGTGGCTGGTTTTTTGCTTAGCCTTCTGGGTCTAGAAGGGCGAGCTATTTTTGGCTTGCATTCCTGCCTTCAGGACACAGGGAGGGACTCAGGCCGGGAGCTTCGGATTCGGGGTTCTACCATGTGGGAGGGATACAGTGGACCCCGTCGTGCCGGGGGGGATGGGGAGCAAAAGCAGAGGGAGGGCTTCAGGATTTTTTTTTTTTTAATGGTCGAATTTGATGACCTGAAAGGACTGGACTAAGTCAAAAGGGAAAGTAAGCTGGAGGTCGCGATGCCGGAGGGAACTGAAGGTCGCGACGCGGGCCCTCTGGGCAGGTCGGGGACCCGGATTACCTGATTCCCTCCCTCCTAGGCGCACTCACTCACCCCGCTCTGCAGCGGTCCCGGGCGCGGCCCTGCTCCGCTGCTGCTGGGCGGGGCCTACTGGCGGCTGCGGATGCTAGGCTCTCGCCCGAGGCTGCCTCTGGTCGCCTTCCTGTAGGACTAAGGAGACTTAGATGTCCAGCCCCAGGGAGGAAGGCGCTAGCGTCGCGAAGGGGGGGGGGGTCCGAAGGGGTCCAGGAGCTCAGAACAGCCAGCAACGTGCTCTACGGAGGAGGGAGGAGCTGGAGGGGGACCTGGGCGCTTGCTTAGTGCTTTGCTGAAATGGGGGTGGGGACCAAGGTATAGGGAATGGATAGGTAAAGAACTGCTTGCTCACTTTGCATTCCTGGGAAGAGACACAAACAGACGCCCTTTGTCATCGCATGCCCTGCATAAATAAGGGTTTTAATTTAGTTTAAGCACACACGTTTACTTATTTTATGTGTCAGAGTACAAATGTGGAAGTCAGAAGACAACTTGTGGGAGTCAGTTTTCTCCTTCCACTATGTGGGATCTGGGGATCAAACTCAGGTCATCATTTTGGTTGGCAAATGCCTCTATTCATTTGACCTATCTTGTTGGCCTATGGAAGGAATGGCTTTGTGTTTTGTTTTAATTTGTTTTTTTTTTAAATATTTATTTGTTTTTATGTGTCCAAGTGTTTTGTCTTCGTGTATGTATGAGCACCATGTGCAAATCTGGTCTCAGAGAGGGAACCAGATCCCCTAGAACTGAAGTTACAGATTGTTGTGAGCCATATTGTGGTGTTGGAAATTGAACCCTGGTCCTTCTACAAGATAAGTGTGATCTCTTCAGTTGCTTGAGTTTTTAATATGTCCAGCATCAGACATTTACATACTCACACGAATGGTAAGCCTATATAGTGTATAGATAATGGGCTGGGTTTCCCATAGATTCTACTTACAAGCTTCCTTATCACCAAGGGTTCAGGCTTAGTAACATCTCTCTCCCCCCTTCTACTAAGTCATTCACACCACCACCCCTACAAAGCTAGAGGCATCTCAAGTGGTCTACAGAGGTATTACACAACTAACCATGCTGTATCCTGTGGTAGAAGTATTTCCTGTACAGAGATGGCTCAGTAGGTCAAGCCAAACTTTATAACCTGAGTTCCACCATCAGGACCCATATGGTAGACAGTGAACACTGTTTCTCAAAAGTTTTCCTCTGACTGGCACAGGTCCACTGTGGCATGCATTTCAACACACACACACACACACACACACACACACACGCATGCATGAACACACACATGCAGGCATGCACATGTAAAACAAAAGCCAAAACACCTCAGTATTCAGGAGCACATGAAAAAAAAAAACCACAACAACAACCTGGGGTGTGTAAATGTGTGATGCTGAAGATTAAAGTCCCAGCCTCAAATATGCTAGGTGAGCTCTGCACCACTGAGACCTTCCCCTAGCCCAGTTTGCAAACATTTAAAGAGTGAGTCACAGGGTGTGATTTCAGGGAAACTCTTGTTTCCCTGTCTTTGTAACCTGGGATCATGTATGTGCTCTTGCTTCAGTGTTTACCCATCTTTTAGGCCAGAACCACACCCAAATGTCCCCAACCTGTCACTACTACCCCTTCTCAATATGCTGAGCCTGCGTTCTAGGAGGCTGACTGCTTTGGGAGTGTTTTGGTACATGAACAACCCCCCTCTAAACTCATACCAATTCCTAAATAAACAGTCCCTTGATCAGAAGCAGTACTGTGTGGTTTAACGAGGCTGTGAATGGTGAATAGGGCCATTCATTGTGTGCATACAAGCTGCTTTTGGCAGATGTGCAAAGGGCAAGAAAAGCAAATAACAAGCACAGAGTTACTTATTCCATGGAGGAAAAACGTATTGCCCAATCCATGATAGGAGAGGTCCAATGTAGTCCTCAGAAGACTGGGTGTTCATTTGGCCTTCCTACTACCCTCCACTTCCTTGGAAGCTCAGCAAGTGTTGCTGCTACCAGCAAGGTGGGCATTCATTGATGATGTGGCTGGCTACAGTTGGTGAGCTGAATCCATTGTGCTATACCATGACCATTTTTTTGCTTAGAGCTCACCGAGCAAGCCCTAGGTTATCTAGAGAAGAGTTGACAAAGAGACACCAAGCAGCCATCTGGTCTACCACATGACATAATAAAATTCCCTCTAGTAGAGGTGATTATGGGAGAGTTCATGTGATATAAACTATGAGATGATTTTCGGTCTCATAACTTCTAACACCTACTATGTAAGTTTTATTTTCTCAACTAACAATCAAGTCTTCCCTATCTTACAATTCTTCAATTAAAAGAGTATTTTTTATTTCAATATGTGTATGCTTGCATGAATTTATGTGTACCACATGCAACCCTCAAAAGTCAGAAAAAAGAGCCAATACCCTCCCTGTTAACAGATGGTTGTGAGCCAATGTGTGGGTACTAGGACCTGAACTTGGATTATCTGGAAGAACAAGGTTTATTGTTATTCCAGGATGACCTTGAATTTGCTGGGTAGACAAGGGTGACCTTGAAATCCTAATCAACCTGTCTCTAATTCCCTAGTACTGATATTACATGTGCGTATCACCTTGACCAGTTTATGTGGTTCTGAGCATCAAACCCAAGAGCCTTGCTTATGCTAGTAAAAACAGTATAAGCAAACAATAGCAAACAGCTCTATTCCTGGGTAAGATGGCTCAGTGAACAAAAATGCTTGCTGAACAGGTCTACATTCAATCTCTGGAATCCACAGTGGAAGGGAAAAACTCCCAAACATTGTTTTCTGACCTCCACATTCACATCTAGGCATGCACATGCATGCATACATGTGCGCACACACACACAAATATACAATAAATTTAAAAAGTTAAATAGCAAAATAATGAGTTCTAAACCACCTTAGACTATATGAGAAGCCCCACCCCCTACCCCTCCTCCTGAGACAGGGTTTCTCTATGTTGGCTGTCCTGGAATGTGCTCTGTAGATCAGATTGGCTTTGAACTCAGAAATGTGCCCGCCTCTGCCTCCCAAGCACTGGTATCAAAGGTGCGGATCACCACCACCACCGAGCTACATACGATCTTATTTAAGGAGGGGAAAGCTTCAGTGGTACTGGAGACCACTTTGTGGTTAATAGCACTTACTGTTCCTGCAAGAGACCTGAGTTCAGTTCCTAGCATTCATATTTGGTGATTCACAGTCAATCATAGCTCTTGCTCCAGGAGATCCTCTAGATTTGGGGGACTCTGCACTCATATGCTCAGACACACACACAGATTACAAAAAAAAAAATTTAAAAATAATAAAAACAAGTAAAAAAAAAATTAGCTTCCCATTTCTTTTGGTCCTTATGCTGTGAACATGTTTGGTAGCTGCTGACCTCAGTAACTGAGGTACCTTTCCCAGAAAGTTCAGATGTCAGACAGTCGACTCTGTTATCCATAGCCCCTACCACACCAACCACTTCTCTTTTGTCTCTTAGATCTTCAGCAAGAAGGCTTTCCTCAGATTTCTCTTTCACTTCTGCCTTACTCGGGTAATGCTTGGCCAATATCTTAGTCTTGTTATTAACTAGCTCTATTTATTTATTTGTTTATTTATTTAGTTAGTTAGTATTTAGTTATGGGGAGAGTTGGTTTTTCAAGACAGGGTTTCTCTGTGGCTTTGGAGCCTAGCTTGGAAGTAGCCCTTTAGACCAGGCTGGCCTTGAAGTCACAGAAATCCGCCTGCCTCTGCCTCCCGAGTGCTGGGATTAAAGGCATGTGCCACCACGTCTGGGCTCTGTAAATGTAATTTAAAATAAAGAAGTAATATAGAATACTATAAATATAGCTCAGTGGTAGAGCACTTGCTTAGTAACATGTGAGGTCTAAGTTTTAACCTCCAAGCAGGGGTGGGGGAATCTACTTGTTTACTTGCATGTTTTAACTTGGTAATCTATTCAGGGAAATATCTTTCTAGTTGCCCAGTACCTCTCCCTCTTTGTTTTCACTGGTCTATTTTGTAACTTTCCAGAAATATCAGTTGCGTAATATCCATTATTTGTGGTTCCAAAAATATCCATCCACATGTATTCAAAGGGTGTAGGTGCCTATGTCAGAATATCCTGAGGTGAGACACTGTTAAATATCTGTGGTGGCTTGATTGAGAAATGTCCCTCATGATGTTGGGCATTTGCAGTCTTTGTGGGTGGAGTTGTTTTGGGAGGTTCAGGAAGTGCCTTAGGGTTATGGACTACCGAGGCCAAATGCAATGTGGGAAGAAGGAAAGTTTTTATTTCATGCACACTTCCATATAACTGTCCATCACCACCCTCCTCTCTCTCCCTCTCTCTCCCTCTCTCTCTCTCTTCCTTTTGCTTTTTTTTCCCCCAAGACAGGGTTTCTCTATGTAGCATTCACTCTGTATTCTAGCCCAGCTTTGAACTCAGAGATCTGCCTTTGCCTCTGCTTCCCAAATGCTGGGATTAAAGGGGTGCCACCACGCCCTGCCAGCCTACTTTCTTTTAGAACCCAGGACTACTACCACCCACAGTTGGCTGGACCCTCCCCCATCAATGACTAATTAAGAAAACATGCAACAGTGTTGCCTATAGCCACATCTTATGGAGACATTGTCTCAGTTGAGGCTCCCTCCTCTCAGATGGCGGTAGTCTGTACTAAAATGATATAAAAAGCAGCTGGCACTGGAGGTGTGGCCTTGTCAGAGGAAGTATATCAGTGGGACGGCGTCTGGGATGCTACATCCTTGTCCTGCTTCCAATTTACTCTTTTTGTTTCACACTTGCTGTTAAAAATGTGATCTCTCAGCTTCCTGCTCCTGCCATGCATCCCCACCTTGCTGGGTTCATCCCTCTGGACCCATAAGCCAAAACAAGCTCCTTCTTATTATATAGGTTCCTTTAGGTCATGGTTGATCACTGCAATTAGAAGCTAACTAGGATAATATTTTATGTGCATGGAATCGGCTAACATACGTGTATTGACATATTTAAAATCAAATTATTAGGCTGGGCATGTGGTACAGATAGATCTTTAATCCCAACATTCCAGAAGCAAAGGCAGGCATAGCTCTGTGAGTTCATGGCCAGCCTGGTACACAGAGAAACACTAGAGAACTAGAGAGAGAGAGAGAGAGAGAGAGAGA